TTTTCTTTTTGTTTTCCTATATTTAAAAAGTTTATTTACATTTTTTATTTCTTCTCTATGGAAGTACTTGCTATTTTAAAGATAAGGGATTGAACCCGACTTGTATGTAAAATTGTAATGGTTCCGTTTAGTTCAATGAAATCATCATCTGCATTTCAAAAGAAGAGGACAAAAGGTCCTAATCATATTTCATGAATAAGAGCAAAAATGAGTGCAACAAGTTGCTTATTGGAATCATTTTGTTTTATTTTATTTTATTTTATTTTATTGCCAATTTTCTGAGTTAGATAATTTGTATTATAACTTCAAGGGCCTGCAGTTGAAATTTTTGTCGTCTTTGCCACATGATGTGCCAAAGAAACAGATGCATGCTGAGAATATACAAATAACTTCAACTTATTTTTCTGTTTTTTTAGACTTTTTCATTTAAATTTTTTTAAATTTGAGAAATATAAATTATTTTTAACATGAAAAGAAATTATTTATTTTTTCATATTAATTTTTTTCCTATGCATATTAAGGTTTCTTATACTAGATCATATCACTATTTTTAAATATTAAAATATAAGAAAAATTAAAAATATTACTATAATTTTTCATATAAAATTTTATCATTTTATTTAAGTGATACTAACTCGCTTGTCACTCAAATTAATTTTGGTAGTATTTTTTTATATATATTTTTAAAAAAATAATTTTCCGGAGAAATTAATCTTAAAAACACAAAGTTTGAAAGAAACATTATCGTTACCGTACAAGTAACTTACTTTTTACCACTAACGTGATTCTTTGCGGAAAGAAAGCGGGTCAAATGTTCTAGGTGTGTAGTACTTTGCAAAAAGTTATGATAAGATTAGGGGTGGGAAAATGAGTTGTATGGAAACATCTAATGAATATAAAAATGTAAAATGGGGGTTGCTGAGATAATAATAAGCATGAGTTAATTTCTAATTGAGATTATGTCTCTGACTAATTCATAAATTAACTTCATCCAACAGGTGGATGGTTATGCAATTTGACTTCAAATTATGCTGAGAAGTGAAGTGAGAACCAATCTCTTACTTGCATGTTTTCATTTTCGATTTTCCCTTCGCACACGGAATCTACTCGCCGGCAGTTTTCTTGTTTGCTAGTTGGCTCTCTGAAAAAATAAAATAAAAATTAAGTGATGTTTAATCATGTTTATAATTTTTTTAAATTTAAAAAATTATTAATTATCTTCATTTATAAATTTTTAAATTGATTTTCTGTATTTAAAGTGAGTTATTTTTAATACTTTTTAAAAAATAAATTATTAAAATAATATTATTTCAAAATAATTTATTTTATTAAATTTTTTTTGCCATGTCACTGTGATTTTTATATTTGATAAGTGTAATTTTTTTTTAAAATACACTTTTATATCTATAAAAGATAAAACTTTAAAACGATATCACATTATAATCCTATAAAGTTTAAATAAATATTCACTTTAATTTTTAAAATATATAACATTATTCGTAATAATCTCTTAAATTTAAAATTTTAATTACTGAAATTAATAATTGTCAATCGCATTAGTCTTCTTTATTAAAAGACGTTAAAATTGAGTAATAGAGTTAAAATGGAATAATAGAGTTATGATTTATATGTCAAAAAGTTTAAATAAATATTTACTTTAATTTTTGAAATATACAACATTATTCATATTAATCTCTTAAATTTAAAATTTTAATTACTGAAATTAATAATTGTCAATCACATTAATTTTTTTTATTAAAAGATGTTAAACTTAAGTAATAGAATTATGATTTATATATTAAGTGACATGTGACAATTTATTTTTAATATAAAATAATATCGTTTTAAAATTTTTAAAAAATATATTTTCATGCTTGACTCTTAATATTTTAAAGTAATAAAGTCTTTTATCATCCTTTATTCTACTTTTTTTCATAGCTTCTTCTTTCTTTCTCTAATTATTGCTATAATAACATTCACGTAACAAAAGTCCTTTGTTTTAAGTTTTTTCAGTTATATTACCACATTAAAGTCTCAAATCTATTATAGACAACTAACTATGATCAATTCAGTGAAGGAGTCTCATATGTATGACATTAAGTATATTAAATATGCGTATTATTGGAGTTCTGTAATTATTAGACAAGCTACTAATTAGGTTCCTTTGGATTTATAAATAGAAAAATTATTTATTTACTATAGTCATATTAATTTCTTTTTTATTAATGCTGATAGTAGAGTTGTCACTATGGTCATGTTGGTTTCATTATTCCTACACTTGACTACCATTCGGATGAAGGAAAAAATGTAGACAAGGAGAGATCTTATTACTTAAAAATCTTAAAAGTTAAGATAAAAATAAATTATTTTTGAAAAATTTTAAAATGACATCGTTTTATATTTAAAATGAAGTATCATGTATCATTTTATATGACAAATTATCAACTCTATTATTTAATTTTAACATTTCAACAAAAATTAATTTGATTAACAATTGTTAATTTCAAAATTAAAAATTCAAATTATAAAGACTAACTTTTATTAAATTACATATTTTAAAGATCAAGTAAAAATTTACTTCACAAAGTTTTGTCTCTTCTAGGATAAAACTTGTTTTGTACCACATGACACAAAAATAGTAAACACAAAACTTTTGTGATTGTGACACATATCTTCATCTTGTAAAATTTGTATCTTGCAAAAAAAAAAAAAAAAAAAAAAAAAAGGGGTACAATTTGGCCATATGTGTGATCTTGTAAAGTTTTATACGTTGTATAGAAGAAACCTGTTAAAATTATTTCACGTATTTTACCTCAATAAAAATATGTAGCTATACGCTTATATTCACGACAACAAAAAAAGTTTGTTGAGATACATTTATGAAAAATGAATTTGGAATATATAAAAGATTATTCGAGAAAATTTAGAGAAGTTATCAATAATAATTGGTATTAATTTTTTAAATATTTATTAGTTGAAAAATGTGATTAAATTTTATTTTATTTTTTTAATAATATAAAAAATATATTTAGTTATATGAATAATAATATGAAAAGTAAATTTGTATATTAATCTTTAGCTCAATTTCAATAAATTGAAAATATTAATTTAATGTTTATTATAGTGTTACATATTTTTAAATTAATATATTGATGAAAAAAATGAGTAAAAGAATATTGTTTTAGTTGTATTGGATAAATTAGAATAAATTAATTTATTTATCAAATTTGTATTATATTATTTAAATAAATATAAAATAATTAATAATATTTTGTAAAAAATTATTTACTAATGCAGGATGAGGAAAATTTTTATGATTGTATTTGGAATAGAAAAATATTTGAAGAAAACTTAAGTGTGACTTTAAAAAAAAGAAAAAAAAAAGAGCAAGATAAGAAAATAGATAATTTTTGACGTATTGAAAAAAATCTCATGAGAAATTTATAAACATATTATATTTAGATAAATTTTACATCTTTTTATGAATTCAGTATCAAAGAATACATTGTATTGGATATATATAATAATTAAAATTATTAATTATATGATTAATACGTATTAATAACAAAATGTTACAATTGAAATTGATATATATGCAGATATTGTATTTGACGAGTGTGTAACCGTTGTCTCACATATTTTAAACTTAAATTTATATAATAACAAGTATTGTCGGATTGTAATTTGAAAGAAGTGGACATGAATATAGATATGAATAATAAAATTAAATTATTTATACCACATGATTATAAATTATAATTAATTTCTAAATCTAATAATTATTCTACTATTATTTAACTAATAATAACAATAATATATTGCTAATTAATAAATTTTTAATTTATCTTTTTATTTCATAATTATTTAGCATTGAACTTTCTAAAATATATGAAAATTTCTAATTAATATTTATATATGTAACATTATTATTCTGAATAAACTAGTTTTTTTTTTTACTATTATTAATTTTGACTATTTTACAATTTAATTATTATACTTCTAAATTATTAACAATATTCTAAATACAAACATAATTAATATAATATATAATTTTATATAATATGATTATTTATATTATTTAATTTTTTTCATTTATGATTAGTCCTTTTTAAAAATTCTAATTATTTATTATTCAATCTAAATTAATTTATCACAAGATAATTACTAAAACAATCTATTCATTTCTGCAACAATTATATAACATTGAAATACAAATGAAATAAATTCAGATACACATAATTAAAATAATTTATTCTTACCACATGATCATAAATTATAATTATAATCACAATTAATTTATAAATTCAATCATCATCATATTATTATTTAACTAATAATAACAATAAAATATTGTTTATTAATAAATTTTCAATATACTTTTTTATTTCAGAATTATTTAATAATGAACTATCTAAAATATATGAAATTTCTAATTAATATTTATATATGTAACATTCTTATTCTAAAAAATTTAAAACTAGTATCTTTTACTGTTAATAATTTTTAATTTTAAGTATGACTAATTTTTATATTAATAATTATATTTCTAAAGTTATTAAGAATATTCTAAACACAAACATAATTAAATATAATAAATAAATTTATATAATCAAAACGTTAAGAAAATCGTATTATATAAATTATGATTGTGATATTTCAAACCAAAACTGAACACTTTTCTATCTTTAGTATGTTTGCTCTTTAAAACAGATATTAACTCAAAAGAAACTGTTTCAACTAGAAAATGCAGAAATGCAAACTCAGAACTAAGTTTAAAATTATAGATTCAACATATCACATGCTGAACTAAAGGGTCATCCATAAATCCTTCTGTTATGCTGGACAGAGAGTTAAGGTATCACCTAATAAGTTTTCGAAGGACAAAACTATAATAATCTTTGTTTTTGTTATCAGGAATCAATGAAACAACTTGGGATTGCTACTCATGAATCTTCAACAAGGATAAGCAGAAAACAATGAGAACAGGAGTGTAAGCAAAACAAGCAAAATTCATATCATAAACGCTATATAAAGGGTTGTCATGGCACCATACAACAACACAGCACTACATATTCATTAATTTTCTACATGACACTATTCTGCCAATCTATTATCATCATTTAAAGGATACCTTGTTGTTAGCAGGAGAACTTGGATTCTCTCTTGCATAAAAAACAAGAATCCTAAACCAAAATAACTCAAACTAAATACAAAACTCTAAAGCATGTTACATAATTAGCCTCTATATAACATAATCAGACCACTCAGAAATATATGAAGTATGGTCCATGGTAAAACTAGGCATCTTATCCAATTTAATGGGGTTATCTTTTCCTCCTACCAACCTGGCTGGGTTCCCAACAGCAGTAGTTCTTGGTGGCACTTCTTTCAAAACCACAGAACCAGCACCAATCTTAGCCCCATCACCAATCTTAATATTTCCCAAAATACAAGTCCCTGCACCTATCAACACTCCATCCCCAATTTTTGGATGTCTATCCCCAGATGCCTTGCCAGTCCCTCCCAATGTCACATTATGCAAAATTGAAACATTATTTCCTATAATTGCAGTCTCTCCCACCACAAGTCCAGTTGCATGATCAAGCAAAAATCCATGTCCAATCTTGGCTCCAGGGTGAATATCCACAGCAAAAACCTCCGATACCCTATTCTGGATCAAGAGTGCTAAAACCTTCCTCCCTTGTAACCACAATTTGTGAGCAATCCTATGAGCTTGGCATGCCAGAAAACCTTTGAAATTCAACAAACAATGCACATAACTTATGCAAGCCGGGTCCCTCTCCTTCACTGCTCTCAAATCATCTTTCACAGCACCTATGATATTTTCATCATCCATCAAAACACTTATGAAAATATCAAAAAGGGTACTACTAGGAAGGCTCATATTGCTCAAATTGATAGAGAGGTGATTGGCCAAGGCACTTTCCAACGATTTATGAGACAAGATAGAGCTTAAATAGTAGCTAGACAAAATGGGTTCTTGATCTACATCTAACCTTGCCTCATCCTGAATCTTCAACCACAGATCAACCTCAACCTCATCAAGTTCCAACTCCTCCACATGTGTGTGCAAGGGCTTGTCACGATTCTTGCAAATGGGCACGCAGGAAACACGATCAGAGAAACTGGGTCTGCAAAATTTTACATAGTTAAAGGAATGATCATCAGGTTGGGACCCGTTTGGCTTCCGAGAAAGAGGGGTTGAAGCATCAACACAAGTAGCCATGGGGGAAGAGAAGAGAGAGATAGGGTGAATTGCGTGCAAAGATGTGAACTTTGGGCGACGAGGAAAAATGGGTGTGAATTGATTTGGCGTTGGAGTGAAAGGGGAAGTCTTATATAAAGGGGAACAAAGGAAGCGCCTTAGAGCCAGAACATTCATGGAAAATAGGAAAATGAATTTTATTTGTGTTGGTGGATGATTGATTGATTGATTGACGAATGAATGTGATTCGTGTTCCGAAAGGAAGGGCTGGTCCTGGTCTTAAGGATGCCACATCTCACACCATAACTTTAATTAAATAACATTCAATTTAATATCATTTGAAGCCATTATCATAGCACTTTAACAGTGTACCACTAAAATCTTAAAAAGTGTTTTTGTCCCTCTGACACTCACAAATTGCTTGTTCGATGTGCAGCTTCACAATAGATATAGGGATATTATTATGCTTCAAGAATTTTTTATTCAACAATTTTACATCTTAAAGTATTTTATATTACTAACATGTTAAAAATATTACAGCTATTTAATACTTTTTTATAAAAAAATAAAATTATTTTTAAAATTAAAATATTTTAATATGTGTCTATATATAATAGTAAAGTACTTTTACTATAATTATTATATGACATATTTTTTTAAAAAAATTTCTTTAATTTAATTATTTTTCGTTTATTAATTACACAGATATCTGCTGTAGCCTTTTATTTTATTATTTTAAAACGTATAAAATGATAAATATAAAGTTATTCTTCTATAACTTTACCAAACCAATAGCAAAAAGGAATGTCTAAAATCTAAATAGATCATAAAAACACATATTCTGTTTACTTATATTGATTATAAATTGAGAAAAATAAAAAAATATTGTAATATAATACAAGGAGTTATTTTTTTACTTGTATATTTTGATATTTTAATTTTCTTCTACAAATTTCAATAAAAAACATTAAAGCACTATTTTTAAACTAATATTACATATTTAATTAATAACATATTTCAATAAATATACTCTGGTCCCATGCTTTTAAATTTTCAAAATTTTATCTAAATACATAAAACAATTTTTTTGTTTAAATTATAACTTATTTCATACATTACATCACTACAAATACTAATTATGCGTAGCAGAAGAAATTTTTTTTTCAAAGAGTGCATATATTGCTGAAGAAAAATTTCACAAAACAAAATTCAAATTAAATTTATTTACAGTCCTAAGGGTGCAAGGTTAAAATAAATTGTTTTGATCGATTTATATTCTTTAATATATATAATGGATATATAAATTTAAAATATGTTGACCATCTTAAATAATGGATATTTTATTTTTATTGAATGCTTTTTATTTGATTAATCAATATTCTAAAACTACTTATTGATAAAAACTCTCATACAATAAAGTTATTTTATTTTATAAATTTAACTCTCCGTACTAATATTTTTTTAATACATTTTCTTATTCTCGATTAATAGCTCACTTATCCTTTTTATTTGTTTTATGATATTGTTTAATATTTATTCAGATATTCGTATATTTTTTAACCATAGAAAACGCTATCCATATGTTTTTGTTTTTTTTTTTACATATTATTAGATTGATAAAAAAAAAAATTGATCGTTGAAGGATATATTGTCAGAATTTACTTCTTTTGTCTTTAATTTAAATGGTTCGAATCGAATTAAGTGAACTTGTGTAAGAAAGTTCACATTTTACATTATTTTCACAAAATTAGAATATAATCTTTTATTTAAAAAAAAAAGATAAACTTGTCAAATTAAATTAATAAATGCTGGTTAAAATATACATCTTAACTTAATATTTAAAGTACGTAAATATGCAAAAAAAAGAAAAAAAAATACACAAGCGGATTATAAATCCATGATGTAAAACAGTTAAAATGATAATCTGTACATAAATATATTATTATATTATAATTATAAAAATATAATAAATATTTATTATTTTTTAATATAAATTATTATTAGAAATAACCTAAATTTATTCCTAAAAATAGAAGTTAATACTTTTAAAAATTAAAATAAAATTATTTAGGTATATATACTTTATTATTTATTGTTGAGCACGTGCTTTAACAGAAATTTTTTTAACTAAATTATAATAAATATAAGTATATTAAATATTTAAAAGAAGATTTTTTTTTTATTGTCTATAATTATTCTACCAATTTAAATTCGATTAATTTTGATTAAAAATAGTATAATTAAATCCACTTAAATATCTCTTGCTATATTTCATAGTTAAAAAGGATATATTCTGATATTGAATATTTAACTTTATTTAAAGATATGCAGGAACGAAAGTGCGTAGGGTAACGGCGTGACCTTTGCTATGACGCTCATAAAATAATATAATAATAAATATAATTTATAAGGTAAAGCGGTGAAGAGTATGAAATAGCCGCCATTGAAATTCAATGATTCATTGACTTTGTAATGTAATCCATTACGTCACCAAAATGTTCCTTCACATTATTACTCCCATCAAAACACTTCCCCACCACTTTTTTTTTATATGTTGATAATCAATTTTATCATTTTTCCTTTTTGAAATATTTCACATTTTACAAATTTGTAAAGAATTAAGAAAAATTAATTATTATTTAAAATATTAGAAAGAAAATTATTTGGGACGAATTTTTTTTTTAAAATCAGGCATGTTAATACTTGTTTCAAGGAAAAAAATATTAATATCCCATGCTTTTAAAAAAATTATAGAAAAAGGTACAAAGTTAAAAATAAGTACTAAATAGTTTACTAACGTAATAATTATTTCAGAATGAAAAAAAGTGATTGATAACTTTATTATTATATAAATGAAATAATGCCTCTTTTTTAATTTTCTTCTTTATATTTTTCTCTTTTCTCAAATCTTTGCTTTACGATTTCATTCTCTTTTGATTTCTATTTGTGTTCTTTTAGAACAAATATTTTTTAGGATTTATTTTAAAAATTTAAAAAGAAAAGAAATTTCGGAGCTTTTCTTTCAATAAGTTTGTCATATTGTGTTTGTACATTATTTGTTAAAATCAAAAGGAAAAGAATCATTCACATTTGATTATGATGTTTGTAATCTCTAGGTCTTCATTTAATTAAAAAAATGCTTAAAAATAATAATAAGTTAAAGTGCCTACAAATGTTTTCTTTTAGAAGGATTAGACCTTCCTAAAGACCATGCTCGTCTTGTTTCTTAAGAATTATTTGGGAAAAAAGGAAAAAAAATTATATCTTAAAATTAATATGTATTCAAAATAAAAAATATAAATTAATACATTAACATAAATTTAATATATTAACTATGTATTTATCATTACAAGTGATATATAATTATTTTAATTTAAAAGTGAAAAATATGTTTTTCCATCCCTTCCTTTCGGAAACTCCACTTCCGAACGTAACCTTAGACAATCTATGTATGAGAGTTTATAAAGGATTGTTAAGCTAAAGATAGGTGCGTCACGTTTGGTTGTAGTTTAATTTTGGTCCTTATCTCTTCTTGAAGTTCTTGTAAGCCTTTGGAATTGCCTTACAAGTTACAACAAAAGAATAATATATATATTTTTCAGATTCTCTGTCTTTTGTTTTCTTTGGCCGTGGGCCAAATATTCTTGAGGTATGCCCAGTGGGGAATAAAATTTCAACAGAATTAGAAAGTGGACGACAATAACAAAATGGTATGATTAATTTAGCTTCTGAAAAGGACTTTTGTCACTGTAAATTATACCCATATTTTAACTCAATTTTATAATAAGTTTAGTTTGTGTAAATTTTTAAAGAAAACCTTGTAAGAGAAAAAATCACTACAAAAACTTTTCTGTAAGTTAAAAACTCAGTGTTATTGTTATTTAGCTATAGCATGAGGAATATAGCTGAAATATGCTCACATAAATTTGCTCTATAAGTTGCTGGCATTTTCAATTTTTCATGTGAAGAAAAACAAAATGATTTATTCATGTGGGAATCAAACCGTTTATATTTTAATCCAATTTATTTTTCTTGTAGCTAAAGTTTAGGTCTGGTCAAGGAGTTTATTAATCATTGGAATAAATTCTTTTTCCTTTTTCTCTCATTTGGTCAATTTCTTGACTGTTATTTTGAGTCCATCAGGCCATTTGGGTAAAGCTTATGGAAAAAGATAGTGAGGGCTTTATGCGACAGGTCTAGCAAAGAAAAGGATGGACACTACTTATCACCATGTCTCTTGTCAATAAAGCTTATTTATTTACATTATTGAGAATGGTAATCCAGCAAGTTGCAAAATCAAGAGAGGATGTCAATTTTTTATAAAGATTTTAGGGAGGGCGAATAATGTCCTTGTTTAAGAAACTTTTCAAGTTTATAAACATAAAAAAAAAACTAATATTTATCACATTTTAGAAATAAGATTTCAAACTCACCTGTTGTTAATATAAATCTCTACCCTTTTCTGTAAGTCTTGCTGAATATTTGATGCTATTGCTGTTAATTAAACAATCTCAATATCGAAATTCCTTTAATTAAACTAATGTTAGACTTAATAAATAAAAACGAAACTCATATAATTGAACATGATTTATATAAATATTTTACTTTTGTCCAAAGTCAAAAATTCAAAATAGCAAACAAAAGTGCAAATTGATGTTCTTCATCAAGATCCATGTTCCACTATGCATGTATCAAAAGGAAACACTAGAGAGATATGGTAGGTATGGTCGACATTAGTTCCACAAGCAATGTAAGATAAATGAATATAAAAATAAAGAAAATAGAGGATAAAGCAATCTAAATAAAATAAATTATCCAAAGAACTTCTCATCAGCCATTGCAAATAAATATCCCAAAGCACTTTCATTATTATTATTTGAATTTCCCACCATAACACTTTCAGAAGCCATTGCATTTCATGTGCATGTGGGCCAATTCAACACGATTTAACAAGGTTTCATCAAGGGAGGACTCAACATGAAGAAAACGAAAAAGATGGTTGACCTTATATGCCATTTTTCTCATTAGAAGATCATGTTGCTGACTTTGGCATTTAGGCCTTCGTAAAAAATATGCAATACATATGCACTGAAAAATATCACGTAATAGTTGCGATTTCAATTGAAGATAGCAAAAAGAAATTACTATTATTTCAGTTTAAGATGACAAAATAATATTACTTGGTTCAAATATTATTATTGGTTTAGATTACAAGTATGCTTTGCATAAGATGATTTTTTTTATTTAAATTGAGAACATCTAAAACATGTAAAACCAACTCTTTCAGTGAGAATATTTTCCTTCTGTAAGCCTCGATACCAAAAATGTGTTTAAAAGAAATCAAACAATACTACTTTAACCAATCACTTATTTCGAATATATTTGAACATATATGCAAAGTGAAGTAAAAGAAAAAAAATTGCAGTTATATGTGATGTGGAACATAAGAAGTGCATCCCATGAAGGATAGAATTTTAAAGAAAGGTCTAACAAATATAATCATGTCTAATTTGAGATGTTTTCATTTTCAGAAAAACAAATATCTAAATGCCACATTAATTTCACTTTGTTACCTTGTTTCAACGTTTTGTAAAGGAAATGATAAAACAACATTTTGTTATTTTCACCATTTCCTATATAAATATTTGTAAGCTAAAAAAAAAAGATAGAAATATGAACAAGGAGATATTTTTATAATTATTTGTAAAAATAGAGAATAAAAACAGAAAGTTATTAATTAAAACCTACAAGAAATGATATTGTAACCTTGCAAATCAATCAAAATAAACTCGAGCATATTACCACGAAAAAAATTAAGCCGTCATATCAGAATTACATGACAGTGACATTGTATATGATATACAAATACCTACGCAATAACAGGAAATGTAACAAACTTTTTGAAACATTGTAGGGAACAGAATAGGAAGGTAAACAAAAGGAATTTTATCATTGTTCATAGAAGTCAAGTTGGCAGTGAAATACATGATATCTGCCAATTATCTATATTCTGGCAATTAATAGTAAGTTGAAGCTCACTCAGATTGAAGATGGTTAGCATTATCTTTAGAGCTTGACCTCCACGTCAACACCAGCAGGAAGATCCAGTTGCATCAGAGAATCTATTGTTTGAGCAGTAGGATATAGAATGTCAATGAGCCGCTGATGAGTTCTGATCTCAAAATGGAACCGAGCATCCTTATGTACGTGTGGGGACTTAAGAACACAGTAAACTCGCCTCTTAGTTGGCAATGGTACAGGACCCATTGTTTTTGCATTGGTAGTCTTTGCTGCATCTAATATCTGCTTGCAGGAATCCTCTATCAAGGGCACCCAGTAAGATCTAAGCTTGATTCTAATTTTCTGCTTCGGTGCCATCTACAAATAACAAGCAAAGAGAATCAAATAGTCTGATTTCATGAAAGAAGACACAAGAAAAAAAATGATGGGCATGTCATGAGTTGTTATTCCAATTTCTTTGTAGACATAAGAAAATCAAATCAATGCTTATTGCTTAAAATTAATACTCAAACTCTCAAACCATTAAGTTGCTTTTGGATCATTTCAACAATACATGAAGATAAATTCAGAAAGAAACCCATGTAAAGTAATCTAACACTCTAACAGAGGCTGAATCCACATTAGTTAATTGCACAAAGCAATAGAATTGCCATGTTTACAATCCCCCCTGCTCATCTACGAACTAGAAAAATATCGGTGGAGATACCACCAATCCAACTGTCATGAGCAACCTGTACTACACTACTTAGCATGAAAAGTAGAAAAAGTATAGGTCAAAATAGTAAAAGCTCCACATTTACGGTTGTCTCAAGTTGCCAAGTTAAAATTTTAATTTTGATTAGAAAATAGTAACAAAAAAACCTTTAAAAAAATGCACCTAAGTATTGTCCTAAAACTTACTGCATAAAATTTATAGTCCACTATTAAATGGTTTATAAACTATAGAAGATTGCTAATCATATCCTTAAGAATAGTACAAGAGCATTATTTTTCTATGCATTAGACAACTAACTTTTATAATGTTCAACTAATAAGATGATCAAATTGAAGCAAGGCAAAGAAAGAATCACATATATATTTTACAGTGTTAAATTGTATATTGTAGCAGTCCATCTTTCTATCACAAACGCAGCCACATATGTTTAGGGATCCATTTATTTTTTCATAAATATTTTTTAACAATTATGATTTCATAAAATCATGATACCTAATCTTGAGTTTTGACCACTAAAACTGTCCAAAACAGATAATTGTTTGTTCTGATTGTAATGCTGCTGTTGCTTTCTTCAACAACTACCCTTTCAGCAAAAGAAACTACAACAGATTTGTGGAGTGCATCTCATAGCATATATCCCAGTTATGAGTGATCTTGTTTAGCCTTCAGGAAGGAAACATTTGAGTCCACTGCCAACAGTATGACCCCTGCCCCCCCTCTCTTCAACCTGGATTGCCTTTTACGAGTTGAGGATGTGGAGGCTTATATATTACTTGGTTTTATATACTAACTATCTATCAAATCAACAATTGTATTGAAAATCATTTGCTCAATTTTTAAAGCGTGAATTGTAACATATCGCACCATTCAGAACACATCAATAAAAAAAATTAAACATACAAGATAAACAACTACAACATTTAGAAATGGGATAGCCAAATAAGGTGCATAATATATTGAGTGAGAGAGTGACTGTATAAGCCTCTATTGCAAAATGATGAAAACAGAGAAATGGGATAGCCATATAGGGTAGCAAGAGTGAGTGTGTGATGCCACTGTTTCAGAGGAAAGAAATGAGAGCAATGGACCAATCAAATAAAGTGCATTAAGTATAACTCTTTCAGCTCCTTTTCATTTAACAATAAGCTCTTTCTAACTTTCAGTTTAAAAAATGATTGCAGAATTGTGCAAATTGAGATCGTGTAATTTGGTTATTCTTTCAAATTTACTCCTGAAATAGATTTTAGACCAAATTATCACAACACAACTGTCAAAAGCATGCATACTTTTGATGTGGAATTCGTTTCACTGCTGACTAACTGACTAGCATCAATAAAACTTATTTAATCCCTTATCTGACATGTTAAACACAATTTACACACACAGATTGAAATGTCCAATCATTTCCTTATTATAATTCCTTCAATAACTTTTTCTTGGCAAAATGAACATGCGACTTTTTGAGCCTCACATGTTAAAGTCAAAGTGACGCCCCAAAAGGAAACAACAAATATCAAGAAGAAATTGTAAATAGGCAATTGATCAACATACCGTATCTGCATCAGCACCGATGCTAATCGATGAAGTGCTCGTTGTGTTCAAGTCACCAACCTAAAACACCAAAAAATTTCATTATCAAGCATACTATTCATACCATGTGAGGCACCACCCCAAAACTTTTTTATTGAATTCAAAATATTAAGGAAAACACGGGCTAAGCTAAACCATGATAATGTTGAAGCTAGTCTCATTCACATTACCAATTACCTCCTCCTTACACACACGCACACTCAAAATCCTGAAAGAACATTGCCGTAATTTTCATTTCATTTTACAATTCAACTTGTCTCCATAAAACAATAAAGTTATGTAAACACAAGGATACTAATTAGATCATGTCGCCTGACATCTAAATCCCCACTTCACTATTGAGTTCAAAACTTAAATATAAACAAATGCCAAGCTAAACCATAGTAACAATGAAGCCAGTGCACCAAGCCTCCTAAGTCCTAACAAACAGGTTATATTGCATTGGAAAAGAAAAATGAAAAAACGTTGCCATAATTTTCATTATTCACTCCACCTAGTCTCCACAAAGCTTATATTATGTATAAATAAAATGACCATTGCTTAAAGATAATGTAATATATGCTGAATAAATGAATATACATTTTATAAACATAATTAATCAGAAATGGAAAATTCTAGCCACACATTACTCAGCACAGAACAAGAACATGAAGGGAAATGAAGAAACCTGATAGGTGACGGGTTCAGACTCATCATCTTGGATTTCTGGAGGTGAGTCTAAGGGTTCAGGGGAATCCAACGCTTCTGGAGCAACATGAACCACACTTGATGAATGCAGAGGTTTTTGGCTTGTGACCCTTAAGGTGTTACTAGAAAGAAAGCATAAAGATGGAGACTTTAGCTTAGAAGATAGAGAGGGGGAAGAATTGGAGAGAGAAAGAGGAGGAACAGAGAGAGAAGAAATCGCCATTGAAGCTCTTCAGTGATTCTATCTCACTCTGTGTGAAGCAACGAAAGGTTATGTTACGAACACTTTAGAATTATCCGTAATTTTTTATTTTATTTTTAATTTTATCATTTTTCAGGGCCAGAACCCAGAAGTTACTCCAGACCCAAAACAAAATGGGCTTTCAGGGCCAACATCTTATAAAGATGTCCCAGTTATATTTTGTATTTTGAAGTTTGAATTTTTACCACAAAAAAAAAAATGTATAGCCAAATTTGTTTTTAATCCTTTAAAATATATCAGTATTATAATTTTGCTCTATATAATTACTTTTTACATTTTTTTTAATTTAGTAATAACTATTAAATTATCACATAATTAACTAAAATATTGTTATGTGTCAATGTCACATGTTACTTTTTTATGGAGACATATTAACAAAGGTGATAAAAAGATTTTAAAAAATTAAAAAAATATTAAATAATTATTTTTAGCAATTAAAATTAAAGTATCCTATATGGATGGAAAATATATTTAAGCTAAAAATATATTATATTAACCTTTAAGAAGAAAAAAAAATGGCCATAGGGACAAAAAACTCTCCATAATATAGAGGACGAGGTCAATTTAAAAGATGGGTTTAAATCTCTATCAAATATATGTACCTTAATACATACTTATGAGTATTTCATTCTTAAGCAAACATTCAACTTACATGAATGCTTGTTGTTTCTTTTCGTGCGTCTTGAATTTGAGTTCTTAATTTTGTTAACATAGTTCTCTTTAACATTTGGTTAAACATTTTTTATTTACTAAATCTAATGTGCCAACAACTATCCATTCACCATCTTCTACTGCATATTTCTCAATTAGATTTGTAACCTTGTATTTGGCGGAGAAGAAAGAAAGAAAAAAAAATTGTTAATATTTATAATTTTTATATTGAAGGACATTTGGTGAATTGTTGATGATTAAACATAAACTTTCATCATCAAAGATGAGTTATTTAAAATTATTTAAATGAAAAATATATAAAAAATCTTAATTTTTGGAAAAATAATTCATGCAAGAAACAAAAACGTATTACTGTGAAGAAAATATATGCGATATATAAATCAAAAATAATTTAAACTATTTTTGTTTAAAAATAGAGTAATTAATATGTTTTTATTTGAAGTGATAAAACAAAATATATGACTTAAATAAAATTCAACTATAATTAAAATTTGAATCAAAACTGATTAATTAGGGCGGACTGTATTGTATATGCAAATATTACAGTCCACAAATTGTATTTTACCTGCTAATTTATAGAATTAAAAAAATAAAATTTTTAAAATGAATAGTTCATTGGACTTGTGGATATTTAATTTCAAAATAATTTATAAAATTTATTTTTATATTTACCCTATAAATTTTAAATAACATTAATTTGGTTAGTTTGAAACAAAAATAATAAAAGAATAAGTATATGCGAATAATTTATTTTTTAAAATAATTGTGCAATCAATCAAACTATCTATTTCGAAATAAACCGTTTCAATCTATTTCTTTTTAAGCAAATCCATTATCATTCGGAATTTTTTAATGAATATTTTATTTTCAAATGCACATAACCTAAAAAGAATTAAATATATAAAGACACACAAAAAAAAAAAGAATTGATTTTAAAATCGTAGTATAGGAACAAGGATTGATTAAACTTTAAAATATTGAGTAAATAGACAATAATACTTTTGCTATAACAATACGATAAACTTTACAACACATAAAAAACCACCAAAAGAAAAAATCTTATGCATGGCCTAGGGCTGCTGGTGCTGGTTGATGTCGACATGCTCCGCGTGCTTATTGTTCCTCTTCTTCTTGCAAACCCAAATCCAAGTTATGAGCTCCGAAATCATAGCCATTATGGCCAATACTATGATTATAGCAACATATGTCATTTTCCAGATCTTATGAGCATTGAGGATGTCAAAACCTTTCAAGACATTGAATATGGATAGAGCAATTGTTGCATAGCCGACCATATAATGAAAAATATTCCAAAATATTCTGTTCTTATGATCCTTTTTTGGCCTCAGAAATACAGCAACACAAACTTGAGCAAATGCAAGACACATCAGAGTGATTCCAATGCATCGGTGAGGAGCATGACGAACCCCATAATGATTCCCCATATACAAACCAGTACCAAAGCCAGCAATCCCAACAACAAATGCTAAAGATTGACATGCTCGATGCAAACGAAACCAAGTAGATCCTAAACCATCAAATCCCCGCATGAACCGTGCAAATATTACCGCAATAGGCATTAGTATTCCCCAACTCATTGCATTCAAAATTCCATGAACCTGAAAAAGATCACAAAAGTGTCACTCATGCATTACCTGTTAATAAATAAGATTAAATCTATTCTATAAAGTTGATGTTTTCTTACGTTTCTCAGTATAGTCCTTGTGTTCATTTTTCCACCGGTTTCTAAAACCTTCCCAGATACAAAATCCAAGGTTCCAAAAGATTGAAGATTAGGTCCCGAAAGAGAGTGTGGCCTTGGAGTCCCATCGTGGGAAACCAAACCTTCTTGCCAAACATGATTCACCAAAGTCTTATTGGTTGGAAGTTGGAAACTTGCAAAGATGATGATGCTACCATTTGTGTGAGAGGCCGAAACACTATAAACAGGAAAAGTGAGATTACCCTCTTGCAACATAGTTTCGTAACTTGTTATTGGTGACGCATAGGCTTTGATAGTCCCATCAGATTTATGAATAGCCACAAATGTTTGGGAACCCACCATACCCTTTGATGTAGGGTTGATGGCCCAAGCAATCCAACTGGAACCCTTTGCATTTGCCTTCTTGAATGCAACATCAACTATGCCTGTTGATGGGTGATAATTCCAATGCAGAGAGGTTTCAAGCACTGCCAAGTCCTCGCATGCTGCATAGTTAACGTGATTGGGAAAAGGGTATAAAGTGCATGGTTGTGAGGTGGCAGGGACAGTGATCACAGTGAAGAGAGTGAGAAGCAAGAGAAGAGGATTTTGAATGAAAGCCATAACAGAGAGAACTATGTGGAATGGTGTAACTGTGATCGTCAATGCTTCTATGTATTTATAGCGTCAGCCATAACGATCTCAGTTAATCGAGACGCGTTTATATTATCTTTCAAAATCTTCAAGTTTTACAATCATCATTATCTAAGATACAATCTATTTTTTGAATCTGTTCTTTTTTAAATCTAACTTCGTTTAACTGATGAGATTATAGAAGCCTTGACGCGTTTTATCGGTTTTACTATCCATGTAACTAATTATAGTCTATTTTACTCTTATCATTAATTTCTACAAATTGGTTAAGTTGATCTGTTAATTCTTACAGATTCTTTAAATTTTAAATGAAGTTCATATAATTTGAATTTTTTAATTATTTTTTATAATTTTAAAATATTTTAATCAAATCTTTAACCATCAGTCAATCTATACCATCATATTTCTATTAAATTTTAATGATACGACATTCTAATTTATTAACCATTTTATGTATTATTTGTAAATATTTTTCTCTAAATTTCTAAATCTCCTTTCTCTTCTTTCTATCTCTCTTTAATTTATAAAAAAAATATGTACAAATAATATTTGTTCTTTTCTATTCATTGCATTGAACTTCAAAGTTTATGCATAATTTGTACTCTCTTTTTTTGCGTTGTAATATACGTAATTTATTTATCTTAATATATACATTAAGATTTGATTTTATTGACAGTTTTTTCTTGTCGTGCAAACTTTATCTTTAATATGAATTACAAAATTATTATTAAAATAATTGCTAATAGAATCAAAAGGTCCCTAAATCATATTATTTCTCCCAACCAGTCCAGTTTCATTCATGGTAGATTAGGAGTGGATAATTCCCTAATTCTTCAAGAATTAACTCATTCCATGCATAGACTAAAAGGTAAAAAAGGGTTCATGATAATTAAATTAGACTTAAAAAAAGTCTATGATAGATTGAGATGGAACTTTATCACTGACACCCTTAGAAAAATTGGTTTCCATCCAAATCTGATGTCCTTTATTCACTATTGTATAACTTCCTCCACCCTCTTTATCAATTAGAATAATAGTGTTTTTGAGTCTTTTAAACTTCTCAAGGTATCCACCAAGGAGATCCTTTGTCCCCTACCTGTTTGTTCTTTGTATTAAGAGACTTCTCCACTTGATTAATGAAAATTTTTTAAATAAAACTTGGACTCCTTTTTCTTTTAGTAATCAAGGGTTTGATATTTCTCATTTATTTTTTGCAAATGACATTATCTTGGTTGCTAAAGCCAATCTGCAACAAGCCTTAATTATTAAGAATACCTTGACTCATTTTGTGCTACTTTTGGGCTAAAAATTAATTCAACTAAATCTTCTATGATTTTTTCAAAAAATACTAATCTGATCTGATTCATGAAATTAGTGTAATTTTAGGCATAAACTCATTTGACCAGTTGGGCAAGTACTTGGGTATCCCAGTTACCCATAATAGACCTAATAAAAAATATTTTACTTTTCTCACTAATAAAATAAAGAAAAAATTGAATCTTTGGAAAATGAAGTCTTTGTCTCTAGTTGGGAGGGTAACTTTAGTCTAGGCCAGCCTTCTAAGTGTTTTCCCCTATGTGATACAAGTTACTAATATCCTTGTTTCTGTTTACAATGACATTAACAACATTTGTAAGCATTTCATATGGGTTTCTTTAGGGGGCATAAGAGTCATCCTATAGGTTGGCAAGAAATTTGTAGGCCCAAAATTGAAGGGGTCTTGGCTTTAAGGATCTTAGAACCTTAATAAAGCTTATCTTATGAAAATATGGTGGAGGTTGTTTGTATCTCCTGATACTTTCTGGGCCAAAATCTTGTATAACAAGTATAAGTTTAGGATTAAGAAAAATCCTAGTCTTTGTAACATTCATCAAGTTTCCCATTTATAGAAGGATTTAATCTTTGTCTGACCTATCTTTAACCAAGGTCTAAGTTGGACTCTAGGGAATGGTTTAACTACCAAGTTCTGGTTTGATAACTGGATTCCTCAATGTCCATAATTAATTAGATTTTCCAAATTTCCTATGCCTGACCTTGATCTGGACCTTCCTGTAGGTTTCTTTTCTACTAATAATAGTTAGGATTGGTAGAAGTTGTCAACAATTCTCCCTGATCATATCTGCTAGCTCATAGCCCTTATAAATCCTCCTAAGAGAGTTGATGTTCCTGATTCAGTGTATTGGAATAAGACCAACAATGGTACCTTTTCTATTAAGACGGCCTGCACCCTATTATGCAATCTAGATCACATTTCCAAGTATAACTAGGACATTTTTAGGTTGGTTGGAAAGGGGATGAGACTCCTAAATCAACATTCCTCCTCTGGAAGGTGACCTATGAGAAACTCCTCACAAATGAGAAAAGGTAGAAGCAAAATATGACAAACTCTCCTGAGTGTCTTAGATGTGGCAAAGCTCCTGTGACAATTATGCATGTCTTTAGGGACTATTTTTATGCCAAGATAGTTTGGGATCATTTTGTGGTCCCTAAATATTGGGTTCCTTTTTTTAGCAAAGGAACCTTAGATTAGTTGTCTTTTAATTTATCCGATCATAGTCATAGCCTTTTCTCAGATTGAGGAAAATTTTTGGGCTCATTGTTTGAAATTTATGGATGGATAGGAACACTTTTGTTTTTTCAAAAACTTCTAATCAACCTAACTGCCTTGTTCATAAAATTCTTTGTGATTTTAACTTTTTAATTTCCTGCTACTGGGACCCTTATATTAATATGCATCAGGTGATTCTTGATTAGTCGAAGATCAAGTGGATGGCTCGTCCCCTTGGCCAAGTGAAGCTGAACGTAGATGGGGCAGTTTCTAGATTGTATGGAGAAGCTATTTGTGGTGGCCTTATTCGTGATAGCTCAAGTCAGTGGTTAGCTGGTTTTTGCAGAAAAATTATTTCGTGCCCTTCAATTGAAGTGGAGCTTTGGGAGTTATATTATGGAATATCTCTAGTTGTTAGAGATGGTTTCCAATGAGTTTGGATTGAAAGTGACTGCAAACAAGCTCTTGGGCTAATCCAACATATTCAGTCGCCATCATACCATTTGTTTAAGGTGATTTAGGATATCAGAAATTTGTTGAGTCAAATTAAATGTATTAGATTAGAGCATATTTGTAGGGAGGCTAATCAATGTGCTAATAGTTTAGCCAAATTAGGTTTGGAGAAGTTTTTGTAAGTTTGTTATCTTGATGTGGCTCCATTCCCCCTTCTCCCTTTTCTTTCGCCTGATGTAATGGGTGTAAGATTTCCTAAATTTTCTGTGTAATTTGTTTCTGTTGGGCTTTTATCCCCTTAATATAGCAAAAAAAAAAAAATAGTAAAAAAAATAAAAGCAAAAATATCTTAAAAGAGCCAAAAAAATAGTAGAAAAAATATCAATAATAATAAATGGTAAAAAAATATATTCAAAAAAGAAATTAAAATTTTTATCAAATATTAACAACATATTTTTAAACATATTTTTTTTAACACATTTTATGTGATTAATTTATTTTTAAAAAAAATATCATTTAAAAAATAATCAATTTATGATTAAATGTTTTAACTTTTTTCAAATGACTAATTATAAAAATACATTGAAAACTGTATTTAAAATAATTATATTGTTATAATATATAAAGCTTTACGTATATAAGGCTTCCATACATTTATAGCGTGAGTAGGGCATACGCGTATAGTTTATCTTATTTTATACATAAACCTTATCAATTAGAAAAGTCACTATTTCTGGGCAATCATATACAGGAATTATAACTTGTGTTTTAAAAGATTTCTGTGTTTATTTTTTTATTAAAGTTGCAAAAATAAGTTAACACATGACATGAAATTAAAAAAATTTATATATATATTTTTTGTAATATTTTTTTAATAGAAAAACAAAAGGTATGTATTGAGATAAAAAAAAATCTTTTGTGAAATTTTCTTTAAAAAATACCAAGTATTTACCAACTCATTAAATAAATATTTAAAATTTGAATCGAGTAACCATTAATAAAAGCCTCAACGCTAGTTTAAATAATTTTTTTTATTTAAAATCAAAAGCCTTGTTTACAGGAAATGCGACACGAAATTGAATATTAGGTAAAGGAAAAATAACTAATTTTAGAAATTTTCTAAAAATAAAAGTCAAATTTATTTTTTCATAATTATAAAAGTTGTATGATTAATTATTTAAAAATTTAAATTTAAAGTACAATTTTGTTAAACGATGATTTTATTTTTTACAAAACTAATCAATAACACTTGTATTATTATAACATAAAAAATTATTGTGATAAAAATAGACCCGTATATGAAAAAATTATATTTATTCATAAATAATTTTTTAAACTTGAAATACATTTAACCTAAAAAATTAACACTTCAACTCTTTTTTATATTGAATGATCAATTTAGTCAATAAAATATTTATTCTTAACTTTAATTTTTTAAATGTTTACGTTTTCAAACAGCCACAAAAATGCTGAAAGATAAATAAAATAATTTTTATTAATATATTATAATTTGAAAGATTCAATAATTTAAACGATAATAGATAATATGACTTTTAATTTAATCAAAAAGGAAGAAAAGAGATTTTATTGATAAATGATATTTTATAAAACTTAATTTTTTTTGACAAGTCTAACAACGGTAGCGTACGGTAGATGCATTTGACTCATTTGATTAAGCTATTTAATAAAATAATAACAATTTTTTTGGTATTATTAACACATTGACAGTTAATAACATTAGAAGCAAACAAACAGCTTCTATAGAAAGAGAATAAACCAAAATTCTTTCAATTTATTACGATTTTTAAAAAAATATTATTTAACAAATAAAAGAAATTCTGTTACGATAATTTGTTGGATATATATCCCTTTCTTCACGGACCTTCAAAATTAACGCAGTTTATCAGCCATGACAATTACAAAACTTAAATTCAAATTACCATTCCAAAACCACACTATTCAAAATTATTCAGTACTTAGTAACCATAACAAACAGGAATAGTAGAATAATCGATTCTATAATCAAAATGGTTCAAAATTATTCAGTACTTGATATCTTTTTTATCAAAACAAAAACCTGAGCGGTTGACAGGCATCGATGAGTAATTCCCAATATTGACTGAGGACAATGAAGAGGCCCACAAATAATTGTCCTACGTAATCCTGAACCAAATTAAAGCCAATAACAAATATTAATTAGAACTTGACAAATACCATATCAAATCAAATGATTAACCCTAAACCATCAATTTAATTACCTTAATCCAACGAGGGATAAAATAAATTATTGTCGCCCAAATTGCGATGTTGTAAAATGCAACCGCCTGAAAAGATAGAAAAAATTAAAATCTAAATAAATGCGCAAAACAAATTGGCTATGTATATATAATTAGGTAATGTAAATATATTTTCTTACTCTCTCAATGGATACAAGTCCAAACATCGCTTTTCCACCTGCTGTTTCTGGAACATCCTCTGGAATCTCGTCGGAAGTGGAAGTGGAAGTGGAAGTGGAAGTGGAAGTATCATTGGTTGAAGGTTTTTCCAATTTGAAGGTGATAACAACTGTGGCTGTGTATGGATTGTAGTTCCAACGAAGAGAGTCTTCTTGTACTTTCACGTTGCTCGCACACAAAGCTGGGTCAATGTTATCGGCTAAAGAGCACTGAATACATTGTGAGGTGGCAGTGGCAGCGGCAGCGTCAAAGATCACTGTAAAGAGAAAGAGTAGAAGAAGATTTTGAACGGAAGCCATGATCACAGAAAGAAAGAAAGAGAAAGAAAACCCTGAAAGAACAATGAATTCTTCTACTTATTTATAGGGGTGATGTGTATCTAATTGTGAGAACAAACTTGTGTTAACCGTGTCACTGAAACAAACTTTTACTAAGCAATAATATTTTTTTAAACTTTTTATAATAAATACTTTATCATAACGAAAAAATATGACTAAATCAAAGAAAATACATTAAAATTTAAAAATAAATTATATAACATTTAAAATTTAAATTTAAATTATAATATACTTTGAATTAATTAAAATTTATAAATATGTTAAAGATTAATTAATATTTTTATTAATTAATAAACTTTCTCAATTTTGTAGTAATTATTTTTCACCAAATTGTAGTGAGAGATGAAATAAATATTAATAAAATCAAATATTATATAATTTTTTAAAATAAAAATATTTTTTTAAAATATATTAATTATTTTTTATTTAATTTAATCTGACTTCGATGCAGTTCCTCGCACACTTAACATATAATTACTTTTTCTTTAAATAAAACTTAGAAACATGTATAATTAAACTAATTGTGTTTGATATGTAATTGTTTTTAAAAAGTAAATTTACATATTATGATAATTTTATTTTATTAATTTGATATTCTAAATTTTTTTAAAATAAATAAAAAAATCAAAAGTGTTCACAATGCTTAATTAGAGTCAAGCTTAATTAAAGTAATTGAATAAGTTAGTTTTACGATACTTTTTTTCATTCTTGTTTAAAATAAGTTATTAAGATTTTTTAAATTATAAGTATACTTTAATAAAAATAATTTTATTTGAGTTAAATAAGATTATTATAAATTTAAAAGTTTTTTTTATTTTTTTTTATAGACAAAACATATATTATTAGAAAGAGTTCAAAAAGAATTTAAAATTTATATAAAAAAAAATTACTTACTAATAAAGTTTTCTTTATTCTGCTTCGTAAAAGATTCATTCAAACTCAAAATAATAAATTAAGTTGAAAGTTATTAAGATTTTAATCATAAATTTCTAATTTTTTTTAACTATTATCATATTTATTTATAATTAAAACATTTTATTTTTATTAAAATAATTTTTTTTAATTGAACCAACTTGTAGTTAGTTTTGTTAACGTGGAAAAAATTTTGTGGAATAAAAAATAAAAATAAATATATATATATATATATATATATATATATTATCTAACCAAAATAATTTAAATTTCTTCAAAATTTTATATCAACAATTTTTAAATAAAATATTCTTTTAAATTAAAAAATAAAATTAACTCTTATTAAAACTTTTGAAATACATGTAAAATATCTAACAGATTTTCAAACTTAGTTTGAACAATGATTTGAAATATCGATATATCTATTACAGTTTTTTTTAATGGTAAGTTATTTAGATAAATCAATCTAAAGAATTGAAAATAACTTCACTTCTATTTTATTTATACCCACATTACTCTAAACTAAAGTTAGTTACAAGATTTTTTAAATGCATGGTTGGTATTTTTTTTCTCTTTTTTTTTTAGATTTATTTTATTCCATTTAATTCATATTGAGACTTAATTGAACTTGATATTCTTTGATTAATTAATTGACTAGTGTGCATTCACATTTAGTTGATGATAATGAAGGATAAACTAAGTTATTTCCAATTGTTAAATAATTTTTAACTTTAAAGCCGTTGGTAAAATAATAAATCTCTTAGTAACTGGTGTTTGGATAAAGAAATTGATTTTTAGTGATTTATAGTTATTAGTTGCTAATAAACTTACACAATACAAAAGATGAGTTATTAATAATTAAAAATTATAAAAAAATTTATACACAAAAAAACATTAAGAACCTATAATTAAATAAGAATATCAACTACACACTTTTAAACATGTTGTTTAACACAATTTATGTGATTAATTTATTTTTAAAAAGTAAAAAAAAAATTAAAATAATTTTTTTATTAAAATGACTAATTATAAAAACATGTTAAAAAAAATCATATTGTAAATATTTTTTCTAATTGAATAGTAATAAAATGTTAGTCCTAATTGAACTTTTTACCTGTCTCTTTATTTGTGAGACAAATATTTCTTTTTTCTGAAATGTATTTTTCACTTAACAACACTTATATATATATTTCACTTCAATTTTAGTTTATAATACTTTTTTCACACTAATATAAGTCTAGAACTTATATTCAATATAAGTTTTTTATTTAACTAAATTCTTTAAAATATTATTTATCAAAAAATTCCTTTTAACAATTTCCTATAATGTTTTTTCAGATCTTCCTCTATTTTCTTTTATCAAATTAAAATTTATACGTCATCAATTCACCTCGCCAATGCCTTTAATGGCCTTTCTTAGCATTTCCAAACTACTTTGGTCAACTCTCATTTTTTTTCAATAAAATGTTAAGAAGTTTCAAAGTTAGAGTATGGCACCTAAATTATCATAATATTTATGGATGGCATATCAATTTCAGAGCACATATCTCTACCACGTGGCTACCCTGAATTAAAATGAAATGGATTCAGCTTCAAAGATCTTAAAACATGTTGACTCCAAATCAATGAAACTTGTCAGATAACAAGTGAAATTACTCAACAATATTTGTCTCGTACAAAAGAAATCTACTTCTTAATACAAATCAATGGAAAGGAGGATAACACACACTTGCACATTACACTCGACACTGTACAACTAGGAAGGCAACTAAAGCTAAAAGCTTCCCACCCCGTGTAACTACTATTTACATTCTAAGACTAACAACATTGGACACAGATTACAATAAAACATGAGATGATGACAAAGCTCCACAATCAGCACCATCATATGTTTATGCATGAGTTCTAAAAGAATTTTTATACAGCCACTTCCATGGGTTCTACAGTTTTACAGTCTGGTCTGGAGTTCCCACATTCCTCCGTATCCATACTATCCTCATTCTTGTCATCATCATCATTGCTACCCTTATCATTATCCTCACCGGTTTCTTCATTATCACAACTGCCAAGTATTTCAATATTATCATCAGCTTGGATACTCTTTTCTGAAGGGGTTTTACCATCCTGGGCACAATCACCATCTTCAGTTAAGCCATCACGAGAAACAAATTTTGCTTCGACGATAGAAGGTTCATTAGACTTCTTACTAACAGGATCACCATGACACGAATTAGCAAAACCAACAGAGTCCACATCTTTAACTAAAGATGGCAACGTGGAAAGCTTTGTGTTAAAGCCATTAGCTGTGAATAGACTTGTAGTTATTTCAGGCTTTGCCTTAATATTAATCCATCTGTCCCCTAACCAATCTCTAGATATTCTCAAATCCTTCCTGAACACTTTCATCAGCAAGCATTCACCTGATACCACCAAAAACAATTATATAAAGAAAACTGAGGATGGAATAATTTAAAGAGAGGGCTCAAATAAAGGCATTAAAACAGCATACCAGGAAAGTAGACTTGAACACTATCATCACCAAAGTTGTCAATTCTAGTTACAACCCCCTCCCACCAGCCATCGCTCCACCATGCATCAACTGCATTTCCAACCTCAATGGCCAGTTCTTGTTCCTTGTAAGTTGGAGCTGGCCTGATTGTGGGTCGGCCAGCATGCCTCATCCCAAGTTTATCAGGCATGGCCAACTTGAAAGCAGGGATCCATTCCTAAGAGTTGGAGAATATCAGATTTGAACTGAGATGCGAGTAGTGTAAATGGTATGCATTAAGAGAGTCAATACAAACCTTTTTGGAAATTTGTTTTTCATTTGGTTTTAACAACTTTATTTTACCACATAAATCATCAACAGTCTTAAACAATATCATAATGGACTTTGGCATCCCAACCCATGTCATTTTTAATTTTTTTACCAACCCATTACCTTCTATATTTTTAAATAATAAAAAATGAATTTCTTGTATTGCACTAAGAAAGTTGTATCCATGTATAAAACATACCTAAATAATCTCATTGATAAGGTAAGAGATCAAGCAAATTGGTTCAAAAAAATCTCTAGCACCGGTACTCCTAAAAGATTCAATTGAGTTTGTATGAAAAACATATTTTAAGCAGCAAAGCCATAATTAAGCAGATTCTTAGATACAGAGAATAGTTTATTAAAGTAGAATATTGGATCCATCATAAATCCAGTATGACTATATTCCACATTAAGCTTAAACTAGAATGATTTCTAATTTTAAACAGAAACCCATTATTTCATCGTCTTGTGAGATTTGATTTGAACTTCAACTTCAAGGAATAAACATTTTTTCATCTTACTAGTTCCTCAGGGCCTAAATCTATATAGTATATGACATTGAATTTTCTGTTTTTTTGTCATGATAAAACCTTAAATAGGAACTACCATAATTTATCCACATATTTTACTAATTTAGAATATCTCAAAACGTTTGATTGTACCTCAAGATTTCCACTTCCATCTTCATCCTGAACATCATCATATTGGACTTTCAACTGTTTCCGGGCTACCTGAACAACTGTACACCTGAACCAGCAACCTCTGATGCCACTATCTTGACAAAGCAACTCTATCTTGTTATCAACCTTATATGCATGGTTATACCAAGGCTGACATTCAACCTGCTTCAGAGAAAGCAATCTCCTTTCCGAGCTTGCATAATTTGCAACCTGGAAAGTTTTGTATACCATCATTTCCTTACTTCCAATTAACTTCCTTACTCCCTGGCGACCTATCCAAGACTGAGAAGATCCCTTATCATTTCTGCTCCTCTTAGCTCCTAGCTTTACATCATCACCTGCACTCAACTCTTCATCTTCTCCTGGAAGGCTATTGCTCTTAGACTCAGGATTCTGGACCGAATCAAGGTGCAAGCAACCAAGCACTGGTTGAGTGTAGTAGCCACGCAGTTTACTCAAGTCAAAGGGCTTCACTTTGTTGCTTCTAAATTGCCTAAAACAGAGATGTATTCTGTCCGTTGAAGTGGGGGAAAAAAAAGGCATGCATTTTTCGTAGTGTTCACGAGTTAAGACTGCAGCAGGACCATCAACACACTCTGCACTAATGACTTGAGAATAAGGTGTGATAAAAACTTCCCTTGGGTGAGGATTTCGTACAGGAATTACACCCTTAACTTCCTGATTATGGTGAAACCATCTTACTTTAACCTTTTTCTGCCCCCTCCTGTCTTCATACATATCCTCTACATAAGCAATATAATGATTCTCTCCCTTCCCCATTACAAAAACAAAGGATTGAATCTGGAAATCAGAAAAGAATGTAAACATTAGGTATAACGCCATATAGATATTATGTTCATGAAAAACTTTTTTAACTTATTGTGTTTTGCGGGAAGGGTGCATTCAAGCACACCACAATGCATGGCACTAAGCAAATACCATGCACATATTTTAGTGTAGGTGGAGGAGGGATTAGGGGCATGACAAGCAGAAGTAAGAAATTATCAGGGAAGTTCCCTTGAATTTTAGTTGAAGGGATTCTTACCACTATTTTGATCCCATTCCTGCAAAAGGAAGGATAATGCTTTAATTGTTTGCCACATGTCCACGCAACTCCTGACCAAACTATGTCTGAATTGGATAATTTAGAGTTACTCATTGAACAGTCCTGAGAAAGAGGAGTATGGGTGTCAACAACATTCATTTGAAACAACATAAAGGAAAATAACAAAAGTAGGGGGAGGCGGCAGAAAAGGTATATACCTTGTCATCTGTTATTTGTGCAGACAGACCAGTAATTTCATTGACGCTCCCATTTGTGGGCTCATGAGCTTGTAACAAATTATGACCAGGTGATACTGTAATTTAAAATTCAAAATATAAGAAGAAATTAAGTGATTAACAAGATCTAAGATGTCCTTCCACAATTATTTTCCTCTATGTCAGAATATACGCTGTTTTTTTTTTATTCAAGGAATAAAGAAGGAGTATTAATAGAAAGAAGAAAGAGCACTAGTAAACAGTTGCAAAAACTAATCTCTTATAGAACAAAAATAAGACTACTAAAGAAACTTGTCAGTGTAAAAGAGCTCTCCAATCTTAAATGCATATATTACAAAGACTCGTTATAATTCACAATAGGACAACAACGCATATATTGAAGAACCTAAAAGTATGCCAAAAAAGATCCATTTACATATAGATAAGTATTATGCATTCCTACAACATGTAACGGAACAAAATATTTAATGAACTGTATGCATATGGTTGCCATAGACTGATAGACAAAAACATATATCATTGTTCATTAGTCTATTTCACTTCACTGAAACTCATAAAGCCATATATCCTTATATTATTTGTACATTATTGTTCAACCTACAATAACCAAACAAATTATAAATGACTGCAACAGGTAAGAATAATGAAGTATCAAATTACCACTTCTATCGCCCTGCAGATGTTGCTTTGATAGAGTAGATGTCAGCCAATCCACAACCTCTCTTCTAGATCTCCATTTGAAACCAGTTGGAATGGAACCCTCCTTCCCACAAATCTCGAGGAACTCCTCAGCAACAACATAGCACATGTGTCTAACACTCCTCTCAGTGCCCACAACTGCAAGGACGGATTCCCCAGCAGAATCCTTCAGGTAATAGTGAACCACGCGATTACCGCGCTCCTGCGAAACGAACTGCTCTTTCCATTCCACGAAGCAGCGATTGTTCACAGTCATCTTGAAGAGAATACCAACAGAGATAACAGAACACAGATATACACTTGATTTCAAAGCAATGGCAAAGGGTGCAGATCATTTTGATTCACTAGTTCATAGGGACAATCACACAAATCCATGGTCATAAAGCAAGAACCTTGCGGCATAACTCTACTTAGGGAAAGGCAAAGATGTTTACTGCTTAAAACTAACCAGAATCCTAAAAAATCAAGTACTTTTTCATGCGGGGAACACGTCAGAAACCCTAATTAAACAGACATGCCCTTCAAAATGATATCAAACAACAACAGGCAAAATCCTCTCAACAATTAACAATTAAGAAGGGCTTTGAAATCAGAAGAAAAAAATCAAAAGATCACTAACTCTACCCTTGACATCCAATCTCACAAGCCTCCAAAGAGGCATGATCATCTGCTGAAACTAAAAATGCTCCAAAATTTTGACCAGTGCCAAAGAAACCTCTGTGATTAATATCTGTGCCTTCAAACAGATCAGAAAGAAATCCTTCATGAAAATTGATCCAAAGGCTGAAAAACACAACAAGCAGAGAAAAATTGGACTTTTGGCTGCTTCAGAGTTGACAATTAGCCAAAAGGCCAAATGGGTATCCCAATGAAGAGAAGAAAAATATAGTTTCCAACAGAAAGATTGAAACTTTATTGCAAACTCTAAGTAAATTTGATGACTTTGATCTTGGATGAGTCAAGAAAGAGGAGCTTGGGCAAAGGGAGGTTGTACGAGAAAACCGAAGATGAAGAAATGGGGCGGTAGAGAAGAGACAATAAGGTCAGAGAAGAGAGAGGGTACCTTGATAGTGCCATGAACATGGACATGGACATGGACATGGAGAGAGAGTTGCAGAGATGGTGAATTGTGCATCCACTGCAACTGCAGGTGTTAGAAAAACAATACACAGGAAATGAGGACCTGGTTACAAGGTCGTAGCTGTTGATAAACAGGTAAAAATAAATAAATAAAAGAAAAGAGGTAGGAGATTAAGAAAAAGAAATAGTAGATAAAAAATACGATGTAGTAATCTTGATAAATAAATTTAGAAACAAGTGGTGAAATTTTCTTTTATTTAAAATAAAATATTAATAAAAATTGAGCATTTAATTATAATATTTTTAAAATAAAAAATTTTTATTTGTTAATATTTTTAAGTTATATGAAAAAAAAATTATTTTAAAAAAGTAAGGATTCCTATTTTTTTTTTTCATTTTGGGGAATTTTTCTTATTTAATTAGGTTGACTTTGTTTACCCTTACTAAATTTTGGCTGTAAGAAGACGATACAACCTTAACTTAAGTTACAACATGATAAAAAAAAAAAACGACAAAAATCATACAATTTTAAGCAAATGAAAAGTAATTTACTTTATAAGTTGGGGATCGTATTCCTTAATTTAAATTTCACACTTAATACAAGAGATATATTATTTATAAGTTTTTTTAATACTAACTTTAAGATTGAATTTAAATAAATAATAAAAAATTATTATTAAAATTTTTTTAGCATACTTTTATAATTTTAATATAATATATATTATTTTTAAATATTTAAACTTAATTTTAAAATTGAATTTAATAAAAAATTAATTATTTTTAAAATTTTAGAGATATATTTTAATTTAAATATTATTTACTTGAAGAAAAAAATTATATATATATATATTTTTTTTTAATTTTTCATGTTTAGTTTAATAATTAAACTTTTATTTTAATTTTTAAAATAATAAGTATAAAATATTTTAGATTTTAAAAACGTTACGTAAATTTTATTTTTATCTAGCATTTTAGTCTCTACACTTAAATATCATCAATAAATAGTAATATAAAATATATGACTAATTATATAGTAAAAATGATGTTATATATATAATATAATATATATTTTTATTTTTATTTTAGTCATTAAAATCGTGACATGTCAAGTTTTTTATTTAAATATTATAAATTTAAAAATAATTTCTTAAATTATGAGTTTTTTAAAACTATTTTCTTAGGGTGATTTGGTTGAGGACAAAAATATTAATTTAAAAAAAAATAAATTTTACCACTAAAAATGTAAAATAATTAGATAATGACACGTGTAAGCATTTAGATAATTTTATAGTATTTGTGGAGAAATTAAGAAACAAAAGTGAGAAACTTGTAAATGATGACACATGTCATGATTTTAATGAATTTTATCATGAAAAGTGAGAAACTCTATGGTAACACGTGTCACGATCTTAATGAATTTTACCATGAAAATTGCATAACTTATAGAAAATTGACAAGTGTCGCGATTTTGACTCATTATTCAAATAAATATAAACTATTTTAATTTATTATAAAATTATGATCGCATCGTAATTAAATAAAATTCTAACAAAATGAACTAACATTATACTTGAAAATAATTTATATTTAATTTGTATAATTGGTCAAAATCGTGACACTTGTCAAGTTTCTGTAAGTTGTGCAATTTTTATGGTGAAATTCAATAAGACCATGACATGTGTCACCATCTAAGAGTTTCTCATTTTTCATGGAGAAACCCATCAAGATCATGACACGTGTCACCATCTACGAGTTTCTCACTTTTCATGACAAAACTGCTTCTTAATTACGAAATTACCCAGATGCTTATACATGCTATTTCGCACTTTTTGTGGTAAAATTTGTTATTTTTCTAAAAAAATTAATATTGTCACCAGCTATTTTGGCAAAATAGTATGCCACGTCATCTAGATCACTCCAAACATGAAAATAGTTTTAAAAAATCTATAATTTAAGAAATTATTTTTAAATTTACAATATTTAAATAAAAAAAATTCATTTAGTCTTTGTTTCATAAAATTTTTCATATACCTATGTTTCTTCTTTATTTTCTCTTGTTGAAAACTATTATCACTACGTATAATTTACATTCTTCATGGTGACAAAGTCTCTGTCATTCGATGTTTCAATAAAATGTGGCAAACGCACTACTATTACCAACACAAAAGGCCAAAGAAAAATGTTGTTTATGCCTTTTTGGTGGTAAATCCTCCAACTATGTAAGGTTATTGTGGTGAATTTCTATAACTTCAAATAGTAGTACAACACTTCATTTCTTCTATGTATGCATTCATGTCTTTAACTATAATAAGGTGATTGTATGGTAATATATCTTTTGATTATTAAGATTCTCAATGAAGCTCGTGATTTGTAACAAGGATAATATAAATAAGCCCTTTAAACAATAACAGTGAAGCTCATAACTCGCGCTGCATTCTAATAGTGAAGTTCAATAATGATAACTCTTGTTTTCTCTGACATCATAATTTCTTTCACTTCCTCCAATTTTCTTATATTTCATTTTTCTCTATCTAAATTTACATCTTTTATATTTCTCAATTGAATATCTCTGCCCTCTAACTACCTGGTTAAGGAATGCTACAAACATAATACGGTTTACAACTTTTTGTTCTTCAAATGTTGTAATTGAAAAGAGTTATTTTTACATTTTTTGAGTTAAAGAATGTATGAGAGATTTAACTAGATCCAACATAGTGGAAAAACTTAGCTCTAGAGGATGTTAAACTTGAATCTTTAAGGTGAGAAGAAGTGGTTGGATAGAAAGAAAGTGATAAAGTCAAAGAAATTAATAGTAAATTTATTTAGAATAAATTCTCAAATTCTTAATATTGTTATGATTAAGTATTTTAATTCTGTAAAATTAAAATACTTATAGTTTCTAAGATTATTTTCTGTCCATTAATTTAGTCTTTGAAGTAATTGATTATTAAAAAATAATGATAAAATGTTAAAAAAATTTTAAGTATCATGTAAAATTGATCGTGAAGCGAAAAATGATGTTGTAAAGAGTAAACCTTTAAATTGATCAAAAGACCTTAACATTGTTCCTTATCCATCAATTTTATCTTTGACGTCATCTTAATGACGAAATATTGTTAAGTGACGTATAAAAGAGAAAAGGTAAAATCTACAATGTTTTTAAATATTTATTTACTCATTAATCTTTAAAATATTGAAAGTAAATGTTTCTGCTGGTTGTCGCTAGGTACACCAAAGTTGTAACCACGATTCTCTTAAAACATCACCGGCCACTTTTTGCCACCATTGCAAGCCTAGTGCCCCTAACCTTTTCCAATCTTACTATGCATTCCAAACCATAAATTAGAACAAGTTATCACTCATAGATCCCAAACTCAGCAAATGATATCATGGCAGAAGTATGAGCAATGAAGATGAAGGAGCATGAATGGGGCATAGCAGGGGTAGGAGAGGGTGAATTGAATAAGGAAGTAGAAGGCTAAGGAGGATGAAGAAACTCTATTTGTGTTTGTGTAACTGGTAATTGAGGAAACTGGTATTGAACATGGGAGTAGATTCGTAACTTCTGGAGCACAAGAAAAATTGGTAGATTGATGAAGAAGAAAGGCTTGAGATTATAATGTTTATAAGTTGCAATTGAATTCTTATAATGTCTTTAAAAGTAAATACATAAAAATATAAAATTTGTGGTCATTAATTTTTAATTCTCAAAACTTAACACTTTTTTTTTATCATCTAAACTAAATTTCTCATCTCCTTTATCGACATCTTTGTCAATATTCATAATTTTTTTTTCTTGTTCATTTTTTCATGAATTTATTTTTAAAAAAAATCAAAAATCAAGATTTAATAAATTAAATAATTAAAAATAACGCTTCAAATTAGTGAATTTGTGACTCTCAAGTACCAAACTAATTTATTATCTATTATTGTCGTTTTCTAGGAATTTACGTAAACTTCTTTAAGATAAATAGTCTTTTTATGCAATTCAAAATGTAAAATAAGTTCTCGTATCTTATTATTTTTATAAAATTTAAATGTTTGTTTTGTTATTTTTTATTTTAAAACGATAATATAAATAATCATAAAAACATTGATAATATAATTATCAAAGTAAGTTGATGATATCAATTTGAAATAATGATAGTAAAATCGATAAAACGTGTCAATGGTTCCACAATCCTTCACAGTTAAATTAAGTTAGATTAATAAAAAAGCAGATAAAAGCGTTTACATTATAAAAAAGTTAGATTATATCTTAGATAATTATCAAAGATATTGATAATATAAATAATCATAAAAATATTGATAATATAATTATCAAAGCAAGTTGATTGTATCAATTTAAAATGATGATAAGTTTGTCAAAACTATTTTTTGTACAGAAAATAATTTTACAATAAGGTCTGGATATATAGTATATAATTTAAAAAATAATGATTTGATTTAAAAATATAATTTATTTATAGAAAAATATATAATTTTCTATCATTAAATTTAAATTTAAAATTTAAATTAAAAATTCACTCTTTATTTCAACAATTTTTTTATGATTTAAACTTTTTTAATAAAATTGTATTGTTATCACTTCTTACAATAAAATTAAAAAACAAAATTAATCTAGAATAAAATAATAAAATTAATTAAAAAACTAAAATATTATAAATAAAGTGATAAAATAAAAATTTATCAATAATACAAATAATCATAAAAACTAATAATAAATAAGCCGATTATATAACTTGAAATAACATAAGTTTGTCAAAATTATTTTTGATAGAAATAAATTTGGCAGATATCTCAAAAAATTGATAAAATAATAATCAAAGCAAGTTGATGGTATGAATTTGAAATGACGATAAGTCTATCTAAATTATATTTAGTATATAAATAAAGTTGTGATATCTCAAATAATTTACCGAATGCATTTTATGTAACAAAAATAAGTTAAATAAATATTTGTTTTATGAAATATTTATACAACTAACTATCCTTTATCAGATTACTTTTCTTTCGTACTTAATTAAAAGATAAAGTTTGCCCGACAAGGAAAACTATCAATAAAGTCAAATCTTATAATACATTAGGATAGATAAATTACGTAAATTACAACACAGAAAAAAAATACTATAGATTATGCGTAAACTTTGAAGTTCAATGCAATGAATAGAAAAAAACAAATATTATTTGTACCCTAAAATAATTTTTTAATATGTATAAATTAAAGAGAGATAGAAAGAAAAGAGAAAGGAGATTTAGAAATTTAGAGAAAAATATTTATAAATAATACATAAAATGGTTAATAAATTAGAATGTCGTACCATTAAAATTGAATAGAAATATAATGATATAGATTGACTGATGGTTAAAGATTTGATTAAATATTTTAAAATTATAAAAATTAATTAAAAAAATTCAAATTATATGAACTTAATTTAAAATTTAAAGAAACTGTAAGAATTAACAGATCAACTTAACCAATTTGTAATTTTGAAAATTAATGATAAGAGTAAAATCGACTGTAATTAGTTAGATGGATAGTAAAACCGATAAAACGCGTCAAGGCTTCTATAATCTCATCAGTTAAACGAAGTTAGATTTAAAAAAGAACAGATTCAAAAAATAGATTGTATCTTAGATAATGATGATTGTAAAACTTGAAGATTTTGAAAGATAATATAAACGCGTCTCGATTAACTGAGATCGTTATGGCTGACGCTATAAATACATAGAAGCATTGACGATCACAGTTACACCATTCCACATAGTTCTCTCTGTTATGGCTTTCATTCAAAATCCTCTTCTCTTGCTTCTCACTCTCTTCACTGTGATCACTGTCCCTGCCACCTCACAACCATGCACTTTATACCCTTTTCCCAATCACGTTAACTATGCAGCATGCGAGGACTTGGCAGTGCTTGAAACCTCTCTGCATTGGAATTATCACCCATCAACAGGCATAGTTGATGTTGCATTCAAGAAGGCAAATGCAAAGGGTTCCAGTTGGATTGCTTGGGCCATCAACCCTACATCAAAGGGTATGGTGGGTTCCCAAACATTTGTGGCTATTCATAAATCTGATGGGACTATCAAAGCCTATGCGTCACCAATAACAAGTTACGAAACTTCGTTGCAAGAGGGTAATCTCACTTTTCCTGTTTATAGTGTTTCGGCCTCTCACACAAATGGTAGCATCATCATCTTTGCAAGTTTCCAACTTCCAACCAATAAGACTTTGGTGAATCATGTTTGGCAAGAAGGTTTGGTTTCCCACGATGGGACTCCAAGGCCACACTCTCTTTCGGGACCTAATCTTCAATCTTTTGGAACCTTGGATTTTGTATCTGGGAAGGTTTTAGAAACCGGTGGAAAAATGAACACAAGGACTATACTGAGAAACGTAAGAAAACATCAACTTTATAGAATAGATTTAATCTTATTTATTAACAGGTAATGCATGAGTGACACTTTTGTGATCTTTTTCAGGTTCATGGAATTTTGAATGCAATGAGTTGGGGAATACTAATGCCTATTGGGGTAATATTTGCACGGTTCATGCGGGGATTTGATGGTTTAGGATCTACTTGGTTTCGTTTGCATCGAGCATGTCAATCTTTAGCATTTGTTGTTGGGATTGCTGGCTTTGGTACTGGTTTGTATATGGGGAATCATTATGGGGTTCGTCATGCTCCTCACCGATGCATTGGAATCACTCTGATGTGTCTTGCATTTGCTCAAGTTTGTGTTGCTGTATTTCTGAGGCCAAAAAAGGATCATAAGAACAGAATATTTTGGAATATTTTTCATTATATAGTCGGCTATGCAACAATTGCTCTATCCATATTCAATGTCTTGAAAGGTTTTGACATCCTCAATGCTCATAAGATCTGGAAAATGACATATGTTGCCATAATCATAGTATTGGCCATAATTGCTATGATTTCGGAGCTCATAACTTGGATTTGGGTTTGCAAGAAGAAGAGGAACAATAAGCACGCGGAGCATGTCGACATCAACCAGCACCAGCAGCCCTAGGCCATGCATAAGATTTTTTATTGTTTATTATAATTTTGTTTGTTCTATTTTAAAGCTTCATCATGTAGTAAAATATTTTTTCAATTAACTAAGGAAGGTTTTTCTTATATTGTTTGATGTTATTACATTCAATCCTATTTGATACATTATATTATTTTATGTGACGTATGCAATAGTCAATTGAGTACACATTCTAGGAAATATTGTGATCGGTTGCTTTCCCTAGAAAATAGATTAGTTAATATTTTTTGAAATATGTTTTATTGGACTAGTTATTTTTTTATTTTCTTTTATTTCAAAATATTCATATATTATTTAAATTGGAGAGAGAATAATCATTAATAAATTTGATAAAAAAAATTGAAATTAAATATTTAAAAATTATTATTATTTTTTAAATCATGTATTCCCTTATCAACTACTTTAATGTCTGTTTTAAATTATGATATGAATTAAATCAAATTGAACTGTGGTCGCGATTAATAATTCTCTTCTTCACATTCTCTATCATTTGTGAATTAATTTTCTAACATCAGTTGAAAAAGATCCTTAATTCATGCAGAAAATAAAAAAAATCGTTAATTTTGTTTGGCTTAGTGACCCAAAAGAGTTAATATATAGCAAGATAGATAATAGAATAATTGTGAAATAAAGATTATTAATGATAAATAATTTTTAATTAACAAATTTCTTATGCATCACACATATTTTTAAACTTAGAAGAAATTCTAAAATATATATTCAAGAAGAATAAAATATACTTAAGGGATGCATATTATAAAAAATGATCAAAATTTTTATTTTGTTATATAAGAAAAAGTTACAGAGATTTTACTTTTGAAAATAAGGACTAAATTTTGAAAATAGTGTGAATCAACTTTTTATTTGATATGATATGAAAGGAAATTCAAATTTACGAATTTAGAAAGTTTTGATATTCGTAACTGAATATATTGAATTTGACTAAATTTACCTGTAATATGTGATTAAGTAAAAGTTGACAAAGAATGACAAAATGGAACACTTGATGCAGAAGAGTTGTTATCTGACGTATTGAGATATAAGAACAAGATGATAAATACATTAACCCTATATAGTCAGCAGAAATTTCGTCCATCCTCCAACTCTCTGTCACAAACCAAAAGCCCATAAACTAAGCTTAGTCTAACAAACCTACTAATAGCATAACTCAAATATAGTAAAAAAGCATAAAATAAACATTGTTTAATTTAAAGCACAAGCTTTTGACCCAAAGAAATAAAATAAAATAAAAACACCTGGCTCTCCCTGTATTGGTCCTAAAGTTGCAAACTCGGAGTCAAGGACCCATTATCAAACGCTTGACCACTTCTCTATTGAAAAATATGAAAATTAATTGATAGTAAAGGGGTAGACACAGTTTTGGTGAAGGTATGATAAGCAATAAATAGAGAGCAAATAGATAATAGCAAAAATATTGATATTTCCAAAGAAATTCAAAATACGGTAGCCAAAATATTTGTACTTTTACATGAGCATCCACAGTCTACTTTACGTATCATTTTGACCTTTCTTCAAGAGTTTATTTAGTTATAAGTTTAATAAAATTAATTTTAACAAAATTCTTTGAACGCTTTAATATAATAACGATACATGCATAATATAATGTGAAGTTTAATCACATTTTCATTAGCACGTATATTTTTTTATTAGAAAGTATGAAAATTGATTTTTCAACACCAAAACAAACAAGCCAAAATCTTGAATATTTACATAACAATTCATTTAGCCATTGATTTTCTAGTGAAGAAAAAATAACCATTTCACTTATTTTAACTTAAAAATCACGTTTAGTGACGAAAGACAAAATGGCCAATCAAAGTTAAAATATGATATTATATACGAGTATGGAACAACTTAGGTACTCGTGCTAATTTTTGAACTCCTTCACGGGAGTATAGTAGATACAAGGGCAGTAATAAATAAAAAGGTGAAGGTTTTTCAATTTTGTGAGGACTAAGGCCAAAAAATAATAAAATTGATCCATCAAGAAAATTACACATTGCTGCTAAGTACCAAGGTTGGGGGCTCGGGTTGACACTGGTGGGCCATGAGAAAATCTCCACTGGTCACAGGCTGAGCATTTCTCCAACTTCACATTGTTTTCCAAAGTACAGAATTTACAAGACCAAGTGTTGTATTTGGTAGTAACATCTTTTGGCTGTTGTGTGCCACACAACTCACAAATGGGAGCCAAACCCTGCGTTGATCCAGCATCATTCACATGCGTTAGGAAAGGCATTATAAGGCCATGGGGTAGTGTTTATTATATATTTTAAAAGGACTGAAGCAATTATATAATAATTTCAAGAGGAATTTGGATCCTTTAAAGCAACAATATATTTTAAAAGGAATTTGGTTGTTGTTGTAAAGTGGAAAGTTACTTTCAATAGTAAATTCTACCCTAAAATATAAATATTATACTTTGAAACCACTGAAAACAAAGTTTGCAATAAATGAATGCAATATATTTGGACGCTTACTTTATTTAACAAAGTGCACATTGTACACTCCCACATTGCAGGTTCTTCAGAATGGAGTGTTCTATTATCATCAGATGGTGGCACAGACAGCCTTGATAGTTTTGCTGAACTAGATCCTGCCTGCATATTGGGTTGAGAATTTGAAATGCTTTTCAATCCACTACATCTCTGTTGGGATCCAGTCTGATGTTCAATGGCAGATCCAATTTTTGGTGTATCCGGAGTCAAATCCATAATTTTAGGAGTACCAGATGAGTTAACAAATAAACTTGAATCCATATCACGACCTCTTTTTCGAGATAGCAGATTTGAAGGTCGAGTAGAATTGTCTGTTAATCTTGAGCTTCCTACATTTTTTTCCTTATCTACAAGATTCTCAGTAAATTCGTGGTTGACATCTTCGAGATCCAAATCTTTGCAAGATTGAGAGCCACACCATATGTCATCCTGTAATCTCCTTTCTGCAGCCATTGCAGCTGCTTGTACTGGACTAAGTGCTTCCATTATAACACTATCACCACCTAGTCGTTTTGGTCCAGATGGAAGAAGGGATCTTAATCGTTTTCTCTTTTCTGCAGCTGCCACTGCAGTTTTACGGAGAGATGAAAGTGGAGGTTTCCAAGAGTAACCACCTAAACGCCTTCCAGGAAGGTCAAACCCCTCTGCCGAGCCAGTTATTCCCTTGGCCATCAGCTCTTCACATTCCTGTGCATGATTAATAACATGGATTTATTAAGGACAAATAAGCAAAAGAAAGGTGCATGATTATACCAACTTGCTAAGAAGAAAAACATAATTTTCTTCAAAAAAATTCACGGTGGTAAAAAATTGTTTGGAATAATCACGCACAGGTGAACCAATGTTTCAACTTTTCAATCATTATTCTAATAAAAAATGTCCCACTGTAAAATATTTTATTAAAAGTAAACACGAAAAAGAGAATGTTTCAGAGAGGATTCTGTAAAAGTCTGTCTTGTTAGCAACCTGCAGTTTCTAGCGTGACCATCCGTTAGAAATAAGTTGCAAGGAAAATAAAGTTCTATCTTCCTTCTATTTCATGTCCATCCTAATATATTTTTATTTTAATGGGAATCTTAGCTAATAAAAAAGCTTAAAGAACAGTAGATGTTCTCATCCATTAACATTGACAATCTGTGAATTTCATCATGGTATATGTAGATCATAACAATCTGATTCTTAACACAAAACAGAAACACAGACCCGACAACAAAACTCATGGATAATAATCAAATCTTTCTAAGTGGAGAGAAAGTGAGATGCTTAACACTTAAACCAGAAAAATATCCTTAAAATGGAATATGACAAATAAATCTCCAAAAATCCTGAGGCCAAAAGGTAGTAGTCCAAAGCAAAGAGAGCATTTTAAAAGGCAGGAAACTAACGATCATTTTGCATAAACTATAACATAACAAGAACAAGGAGAACCTTTCTAAGTTCATCCCAGAGCTTGTAGAAGTTGGCATTATGAGGGCCATGGGCATTATGGCAAAGCTCATGAAGCATCGTATCCAGAACTTGATCAAATGGGAAAAAGTCTAAATCCCTGTTTGGTCTCCGAAGCCGCAATTTCACATGTACACCAGCCCCAACATTTAACCCCAGAAGAGCCGGATTGTTTGGGCTACAATCACGAAGACGATTTCTTCAGTCATTTGCCCAAAAATCAAAAGGCAACAGAAATTTAAAAAAAGCAAAATAAAAATTCATGTCATTTCCCAAACGTAAAACCAATTTGGCACGTTTAACTTAAAAACACAGTGCAAACTATTCTTTACACGTTTTCATTAGCAGAAAATTGGTACAAATAAGCTTCTGAAAAATTTAAAATTTTTAAAAAAATAAAAAATTAGATAGACTGAAATGTTCCAACTGATCACCAAAATAAAGCAGAAAAGGTCCTAAAATTTGTAATTTTTTTACCAAAATATCATTAGTGGTTAGAACTTATAACCGAGGTTTTTATTCCAAGATGAAAACTTTACTCTTCCTAGCTCCATTGCTTCTATTTTCCTTCATTACCCACTAGCGTAAACGCAAAAGGAAAGTGAATGGTACGGAAAACAATTTAGAAAGGAAATTTTGAATCACCAAAATTCAGAGAGAAGCTTGACCCTCCATTTGTGTTTGCGCATAATGGGCTGGACCTGTTTGGCGATCTTCTCCAACATCTTAGTGGCTTCTTCTTCCCCGGGTTTCCTCTTCAGAGCTTTGATTTCCCAAACCTTATTGAGATTGCCCAGGTTCATCGTGTGGAACCCTAAAATCCCAAAGTCTAAGAAACTATGTTAATCGAGTGAAACAAAGGAGAATTAACAATGAGGAATTGGAGAGGCTTAAGAAGGTGATAGTGGAATTTTCACATCGCGGAGATTTTGATGAGATTGGAAAAGGAGAGAGAAAATCGAAACGAAATTGAAAAAGCGAATGCCTTTTTATTGAGGTGTGATCTTCCAAGCTTAACGCGAGAGGTTGGGCGGGATTTTGAATGTCACACGTGTGCCGTCGCCTTCTAAAATTAAGGAAAAGAAAGTTTTTGGTACTCGATACACAACTACCGTGGAAATGAATTTGCCTCGTTTTTAAAGTGAGAATAAGTTAATCATTTTTTCTTCTCTTTCTTTTCATTTTTTCTTCGATCAAACAAAAATAAAATATAATCACCCCGCATTTTTTTTCCTCTAATAATCTTTCCATGACATTCATTTGTGTCAATGAGTCTAATGTTGTGCTTTTACTGTGTGTTTTTTAAGAAAATTGACTTTAAGAATCGAATGATTTTTCGTGTCGGAGGTGATATTCTTTGTTGATGTTGATGATGATGAGCACACTATTATTTCCCTTTTACTGGCTCATTACCAAAATCTTTTTAACCATCACATGCCCAAGTATAACTTTGCGATTTCCTCGGGTTCAAAAAATCCCAGCTCAAAGGTTCCTTCACCTGAACCTAGGTAATGACCAGGAAAAAAAAAACACTTTTTTCGCCAAAAATTCCCATATTGTAACTCCCAATCAAAAAGGGGGCATCTGCTTTTATCATCCTTGATAATGTTTGAATGCAATTTATAATTGGCCAATCAGATACAAATTAAAACAATCCCTGAGGCCCTGCTGATTTCAATTTCATTGTATTAGCAAAAAGGCGGATAAAATACAAACCCATTTTTCACGGATTCAATACAACAGAGACACATGACTTCGAGAAAATTTTAAAACGAATGCATCTTATTACAATTTCTTACATATTACTCTCTTCCATAACATGGCAGTTCCAAGGATTGAAATAAAACTGCATGATCTTAGGTGCAATAAGCCGCCACAGTGTATAAAAAAATCTAGTTGGCGACAAAACAGCAGCAAGTAAACGAATACACATGCGGATACTATGACAAATTGCGATTCATAAAAAATTTCCACTCCGACGAAGATCGGCATCAATTTTTAAGTGCATTCATTTTCTCCCTCAGGTAGTAGAGTTTGGCCCTTCTCACTCTCTTCTTGTCAAGCACCTTTATCTCCTTTATGTTAGGAGAATACCTATCACACATAGCCCAAAGGTCAGGTATTAACTATTAAGTAATATAACTACTTGCACAATCAACTGAAAATTAAAATATCACAACAGAAAATTACACCACTCCACTCCCTCCCTCTTCCCAGCCCAAAACGAATGTAGTAGGTAAAACTAAATGGCAGGCTGAATGAAGCAAAACAAAAAATCATTAATAGTGGTACAATCCCAAATACTCATCCAAAGCACATAAAGACACCTTAATTTAAGCTAAAAAAAGATAATAAAAAACTCAGTTTGAATGCACATTGAAGCAAAGTAATTGTTACAACTTACAATTCTACCTTAAAAAAGCAGTTCACATTTTCCCTATAGATAATGCTCTGGGAAAAAAACAGATCAAACTGGGTCCCATGCACACACGAGCACAACACACCAACATTTATATTCCATAAGAAGTCTTTTTCTAAACTCTAAAGTAATATGACATGCATTTGAATAAGTTGAAATGCCTTGTCATATAAATTCTAAAGTAATATAGCTTTTGTTTAGAGGTTAATATTTATAAAAATGCTTTTCCCTTGGCTTTATCTTTTTTCAAAAAGCTTATTCAATGATCTTAAAATTAATACATTTTTTCATTAAAAGGTGCTTTAAGAAAACGCACAAACAAACCCATAACTAGAATTTCAAATTATCATCACCTGAAGCAATTCTTTTCATCAACTTTTCTCTTCATAGCCAATTGAAGTAATTCAACTACACCCTCCTCAAACAGCATGCCTAAAAGCAGAGATCTACTTAAAATATGGGATGATAATACTTACAGAGGGAACAGAGATTCAATCCCAACCCCAGCCACCAGCCTCCTAATTCTGAACGTACTATTAAGTCCAGCATTACGCCTTGCAATAACAATTCCTTTTATAACAGAAACACGTCTCTTATTCTCAGGTACTTCCTGTAATATCATATGTAATAGTAAACAAGACATAATATTACTATCACAAACAAAAACAAAGAAAAGAGAAAAATAAGAAAACATCATCAAAAACAAACTTTCGTACCACTTTGAGTTGCACAATATAACCAGGCTTTATATCAGGTATCTCTCTCTGCACTTTCACCTCCTCTACAGCTTCCTTGTCTAAAATCTAAATGATATAATTACCAACAATTTTTACACATGACGAAAAAGAAAATCTTATTTAAAACAATTCAGAGCAGTCACATGCCTGCATAATGTGCCTGGCAGTTTTATCTAATCTCTTAAACTTGATGCGAGGAGGAACTTCAGGCTCCAGATTGGAACTATCTTGAGAAGAAGAATCGACAGGATTTGTCTCGGTTGACATAAACCTGCCACCAAAAGAAGGTACAAGTGTAGCAGCCTGCTGAAACAAAGCCCCTCTAGAACATCCCAGCACTGATGCTAAACCAAAACCAGGGTCAAATCTTGAGAATGCCCGAGTCTGAGGGAATATCGTAATCTACAAAAGAAATTAAGATTTACTATGACAAATGCAACCAACCATAAGAACTTACAATATAAATCCCATACTGTCAAAGCCTAAAACCGAAGTCATACTTTCCAAAACTAAAATGAAACATAGAAGCATAAAACAAAATAACACTTCAATGGCTCTAAATACTCAAGTCATCTTCAATTCATTTATTCATTCCATTCAATTATGCCTAATTAACAAGAAATAGATAACATACCATGTCAATTGATTGTATTCGATACTCTTTAAGTTACACTTCAGGATTACATAATACAATTACCAAATAGTACAGATACTATAATATTAGGTTACATCATCTAGCCATAAAACTATAACGATAGGATCATGTTATTCAAACACAATAAGATCTAGTAACATTGCCATCCTCTTCATCCTAACCAAGCCCATCTCAATCTGCAATTAAATTAAAGTAATAATAAAAAATAATTTGTTACTTTATTTAGCAGCGGGAGCACAACATCAATGCCAAACGCTAAAAGTGTAAGGAAATGAATGAAATGAAGGAATGTTTACGGGGACAGGAGAAAGACGAGAGGTAACGTTTAGGAAAGAGAATAGCCGGGAAGAGTTTGGAGCTTGAAATTCCGGCAGAGATCGACGGAGGGATGATCCGAGCAGAGATGAGAAGAGCCTGCGTGATGCCATATCCGGGTTGCGATCGAGAATTGGAAAAGTTTGGGGTTAGGGTTTATGGCTTTGCGCACGTGCACGGCACGGGTGCCATTTTGGGTTCGGGTAACGGGTCAGGGAAGACTTGGATATCCAATCCGATAAAAAACCTAAAATGATGTGGCCTTGAAATAATATAATGCAAGAGAAAGATGCATGAATTAAGAATCTTATAATAAGAAAAGATTTAATTAAATTATATATGACGCACTCATTTCATTTTAAAAGAGCTTCTTAGGATTTACATGATTTGTCTTGTATGTAATGTATTATATATTATATGAAATAAAAATATATATAGGTAAATTAATGCTTCTTGAATTAATTTATTTTAAAGTTAATTTTTTTAACAACTGTCTTAAAAAATTGCTATTTCAAAAAAAATATACGTCAAACTTGAAAATAATATTCTAAAACTGTGAAAAAAAAGACAATAATGTTTCTCGTCAGAAACTCATTAAATCTATTTATAAAATTAAAATTACAGGTTATAATGTTAATATTTTAATTGCATAGTTAACATTAGATTTAATTTTATTTATTCAATTAAGATTTTTGTATGAATTACTTTCTTATGGCTTAATCTCTTATCAGCATTTCATTTATTTTAATTTCTTTATTTTATATATTTTTAATGACTAACATGTATGTAGATTAGCAGTTACATCTCTACTAAATTAACTTAGATTAAGGAGTTTAAACAAACAGCAAACAGCAAACATTTATGAACTATATGACATAATTATACGTTTACTACAACATCAATAATGATAATACAAAAGCAAAAATTCAAGTAATCGATTATCGCCTGATTAAAAGGAAACAATTCCACAGATGAAGCACGCTTGGCAATGAGATATTTTTTAATATATATCTCATTTTAATAATAACTTACAAGCATAAAGTCTAAAAAAATAACATAATATTTATTTTTTTCTGTTGATAATACATGTTCACTTTATTTCAAATGAACAACTACAAATGAGCAGCCTTCAACTATCATTCTTATAAAACAAATCCATGTCTACTTTACAAACTTCATAATATTTAAAATCATAAGTATACAATAACAACTTAACCTTTTTCCACTAAACAGGGTGTGTTACATGTGGATTAAATGACACTAGAACATTCATTCATAAATCATAGACAAATTGTTGATCTCTAAATTCTTTTTAACATTTTTGTCTATGATTTTTCTTAATCTCCCTTTGCCTCTATTTGTCTACTCTTCTCAATACATGCCCATCTGTAGTACCTTCTAAGGCAAATTTCTACTGTCTCTTCTATGATAAGTACTATAACAATTGTTTCTCTAGGGTATTCATTATCAAATCATAAGTATAGACAATATAAAAGCAAAAAAGAAAACGATTTTGCATATGCTGTGAAGAGAAGTTATCTTAGAAACCAAGCTATCATTATGCCTCTTGCTTTTGAACGACCTTAAGTGTCCCAAATCATCACAACCGCTATAACTCCTACGCCTAACAACACCGCAAGAAACTTGAAGTAGGGTGAGTCAACCTTGGTTTGTTTGTGGGGTGTGTATCCCTTAGACAATAGATGGTTTATCGACACATAGATAAACACTCCACAAGCTAGACCCATTGATATAGCAAAGATCCAATCTGCCACAGAACCTTGTGTTGTAGCATCCAATATGATTCCAATGGCTACACCAATTGGACTTGAGATGGCAAAGGCAAAAGCATAGGCTGCACATGACATTAAGGGACGATTAGGAATCATCCTAAGGAGAGCAATTCCCATGGCAATGGCTGCAAATATCTTGTGCAAACAGATTGTCCATAAAGCTTTCCAAGCATCTGCTTTTGTCTCAGCAACTCCAATTGCTAAGCCCTCAAACACGGAATGAGCACAAAGGGCAATAATCAACAAGATGGTATCTCCAAGTGATCGTGCAGATGCAAGTGCCTGGCTCCCCAAGTGATGATCTGTGCTGTCAGCAATTGCATTGCCCTGTTAGCATAGAAACACAAGAAGTTACTATTAAATAAGTGATGACAAACATGAAATGAGATTATCTCAGAAACAGACTTTGGTTTAATTTGAATATACTTTTTAATAAGTACTTGTAGACAAACAAAAGAAAAAAGGTAAAATACATCAAACTTTTCCTATCAATTTATGGACATTAACTTTTTAGAAGTTTTTCATCTAACTTCTCTAAAATTTAGTGTGTGCATAGGCTAATTGTAAGCTATGAGAGAAATTTAATTTATATTACTTAACTTTTTCTTCTATAGTTACTTGTAAGAAATTTATTTAAATAATGCCTTCGTTCATCACATTCCACCGGTATAAATAAAACCATGAATATCGGAGAATCTAACCTCGTGCTGTGACTGAAAAGTAACACCATTGCCCCTTACTTTTCCTGTCTCGGCCCCTGCAATGTGAACCAAACAAGAAGTAGCTTTGGTTCAGATTAGGTGAAGCTAAGGATATTCAAATTCAATTTCATATTTGTTAAAATTGATATCCAGTGATAACAATGACAAACTCAAAAAAGTGCTACAATACTACAAGCATGTATATATCCATAACACTTCGGAAATTCTAATATCAACATTCTGACTTACTAAACAATCCTGCTGAAATAAGGCAACCGGTGGTTTTTTCTTTCTATTTCTTTACCGCATTCAATCATCACGATAAATACCCTTTTTAAGAGGTGGATAAATGACATGAGAGCCTGTAAGTGCTTAATTTAACAAGCTTACTTTGATAAGTTTTACAAAGTTTATAAAAGAGTCTCGAGCCACATTTATAAACTCGATCAAATACAAAACTTTAAGTACTTGTATGATAAAATAAATTCAAATATACTATGTAGATAATACTCTTGTAATAGTAGTTTGTAATCTGAATCATGCACCACCAAAATTCCAATCATATTATTCCAACAAGAAGCAAACAGTTCAAAGGAATATAGAAAGAGAGAATTTCAACATCAAATTGAATTGCATGATACGAATACAGAGTAAATCTCCCAAGCCCATCAACCAATTAGCCTAAAAATTTCACCATTTAACAAAAACGAAACAACTCCAGTGATAGATTAAAATTCAAGTCTACTAGCTAAATCATCATTTATTAGAAATTTGGGTCTAATTCACTCTCAAAAATTAGTTCATAGTAAGAAGGTTATCCAAGTCTTATAACGAATATTCTAACTATATTTATAACTGATATAGAACATCTTAACTTATCCTCTCATTCCTAGAACTAGATATCTGGACTTTTGTGGGTAAGTTTAAGATTAGATAAGCTATTATACCATAATAAAAAATTTAGCCTAACTCACTTCCAAAAGCTATAAATTATAAAAGCATTGTCCAAGTCTTATACGGAATATTCAGGCAATATTCCTAACAGATATAAGAGATCTTAATGATATTCATTCACCACCAAAATCGTAACCATCCAAGCCCAAAAACCAACCTCAAATTTAAAAAAACATGATGGACAACAAAAACATGATTCGCAAAAACAAACAACTGAATTGCATACCAACGAATCAACCAAAAAGTACGAACCTTGAACCTCAACATCAGCCACATCACCAGGTTGATCCCGCCTCACCTTCACCAAAATGGATGAAATTACAGAGTCCGCAAGCATAGTCAGCAAATAACCCCCACACGCCAACATAAACGCAAAAGGGTATTTTTTCTTAGTCAAATCCTCAAAGGTCTCGTTAGCATCACTTAGAAAATGCATCATAGCAGTTCCCAGAAACACACCCCCTGCAAACTGGGTCCCCAAAACCAAGAACCCCTCGTTCCATTTCAAGACATAGGGAGATACACCAGACACAAACGTGGCAAAGAAAATCACTATCAAACACCAAACCTTCGCCAGTATCAATGGTCTGGCACGTAGGTCTGGAGCAGCATCACCACCACCTCCGGCGTCGGCGTCGGAGTCGCTGTCGTCGTCGTCGTGGCCACTGTGAGCTGAAACAGAGAGGAAGTAGAGGAGAAAGAGTACGAAGAGGAAGAAGAATACACGAGACATTGGAACGGTAATGTGAAGTGTAAGAATGAAGTGGTCGAGTTGGTTTATGGAATGAGTGAGTCAACCAAGTCTTGGCTGTTGGAGGGAAGAAATTTGGATCTCTGTCATTAATATGATAGGATTATATACAATACAAATGATATAAAATTTTAACAAATTTAATCAATGAATTATGGGAACAATTAGGATGCTTTTCTATTTGATGAAATTATATATTTTATAATCCAATATTAGAATCAGACAATACAATGTTAGTTTGAAATTTTTTATTAAATTGATAATTAACAAATATTTTATCGCATTATTTTATTTTAATATATATTATATTTTAAAATATATATATATATATATATTAATTATAAAAATGATATAAAATAATTTAAATAATTAATATATAAAAATATTGTTTTATATGACAATAGGTGAGAATGTAAATCGAGAAACAATTGTGGAAGTGGGTGTTGGAGGGGTATGTTTGGTGATAAGGTTTGGTTGGGTGTTAAGTAGTACAGAGTGTACTGTCATCAACTCTCTCTGTTACGAGTTTCCATCGAAATCGAAGAGAAAGTGTGTGTACTGCAAACTTTGTCCCGTACTGCATTAAACAATTGTCACGGGTCTTTCATTCTACCCTTCACCGTCTCAAGTAAGCTCAGAGATTAACGCCGTGTTTGGGATTTTTATTGAAAAACTATCAAGTTTTTTATCTCTTTAGAATTCTTATCAACTTTTTTTAAAATAATTAATTTCTTAATTAACATCAATATCATTGTCATGATCATTCCCATAATCCCATTAGCCATCTATTGCTTCTATCATTATCCCTACAAATTTATGTTAACAAAACTGATAGATAAGAAATTAATCAAGAAAACGTAAGTATGTATGTTTTTATCCAATAGATTGTATGTATGTTTGGGCGAATTTAAAAACAATTAGTTTTTCATTTCTCTTAAAATTTTATAAAAAATAGCTATCATCAGAAATAAATCAAACAAATCATGCATATATTATTTGATGAAAAATAAAAGTAGATAAAAAGGTTATTTCATGTTTTTAGGAGGAAGTGCTAAGGACAGCGTTTTTCACAAAGATTGGTGTCGTTTTCTATCGGAATCTTCTATGTTCTTTTCTCACCATCTTTTGCGTCTCGTCACCGTCGTCTCTTAGATATTTTCTTATTCTTCTCAGCCATACAATTGTAAAGAACCCAGTAGCTTTCACGTCTTGTGCTTTTAATGAGCTGTTTATAGCATTTATGGCTCTAGGATAAGGTGGAAAATAAAGAGATGAACAAGTCTACATGATAGATTCCTGCTTAATATTTCTATAGACTGAATCAAACATTTTAAATAAAAGATCATTAAAACTATTTAAATAATTTTTAAAATGTGATAAAATATTTTCTTTTATGAGTTTTGTTACCGATCGATGAGATGTATAAAATAAGTTTATTTATAATATAATTCAACTGTAATGTAATCTGCAAAATTTAGTTTTAATTTTATTTTTTTTTTGCTGATTTTAATTTTTATAAATTTAAATTTTTACCATTCCTAATTACATAACATGCATTGATTTATAAGTATTATTTCAATTATTATTTGAGATTAATTTTGATATATTAGTAATGTAAAATAGTTTTTTATTTTAAACCTTAAAATGATTTTATATTATCAAACCAGTTAGTAATAATTTTTAAATTTATAATTAAGTTACTAATTAAAAATATTTATTTAAACATTATTTTTAATCTTATAAGTACTTCTAACTTGTATCTGGAGCCATTTCTTTTGTTTTTGGCACAGCGGTTAGATTGTTGCTCGTATGTGTCTTTTGGTACTAAAGAAAAAAAAAGGATTGCATAACTTTTAAAAAAAATATTTAGTTGATAATTTTATCCCTTAACAAATTTTTATAAGAAAGATTTTGAATTAATTTTCTTTAAAGTAAATTCACATCATAAAATATTTCAGCTATGTATATACTCTTATATATGACATAAATAACATTAAAATATGAAGAAGAATTACATGTTTACAAAACGAGTTATTGTGTAATAAATTAAAAATTTTAAATTAATGTTAAAAACTAATTTAACTATAAAAAATCATTTAAACAAATACATAACAAATTTTAACTACAAAATATTTAAGATAATAAAATTATACATAAATTTATTCAACTTACGCCACATCTATGACAATGTAAATTACATATCGACGTATACAATAAAACATTACATGAATAAAGTAAGAGAAAAAAAAATCGATTAATTTATAAATTAATATTAAAGTATAAAAAAGAGAAATAAATATAGTTTGATTGTGGAAATGTGTTTACATTGCGTGAGATGTAATCAAACACATAGGGGATGGGGTTATGATCAGTGGACATGGTTTTCATGGTGACTGTGTTAGATTTCAGGGTATTGTGGGCTGAGATGGTGGCAATTTCTGGTGGTTTTTCATTTTTCTGCCGTGGCCACAGTCGCATGCTGGGTCTAGTGATGGTGGATGGCGGGGTGGTTGGTTGCTATGTGCTTGTGTTGTGTGCCTTGAGTCGTGCATATAAAGTATAAACTGAATAATTTCAATAGTGAAGAAAACATGCAAATGATACACAAGATTTACACGACAATTTGAATTCTTAATACTTACTTGGCTTGTTTCGATTTTTTATGTGTGCCTACAACCTTTGTCTTCTACTTCTTCTTTTGGTTTCAAAAGAGCATCTATTATGCTCTCTCTTCTTTTATTTTATGTAATGTGTGTATCCCTCCCTTCTCTATTGCTCTCAAAGTATATATCCATTAGTTTCTATGCGATCACCCACTTCCTAATTTTAAGATTTTTTACACTAATTATTTTTAAATACAATTTAATTATGGGTGTTAAATATATTAGTTAGCATTAAATCAGGGTGTAATATCATTATAATTAGTTGGGGTGTTGCTGTTACTTTTCCCTCGTTGGAATAGTATATACACTTCTCCTTCAAACTGATCACTCTCAACATTTGCATCCAAGGCTTCAGCAAGCTGGCTCTACCATGTTCGTTTTCTAAAACCAAACCCCACATAAAGTCCTTTTAGTTTGTTACACTGAATGCTCAAAAAATATGTAAGAAAATGTTATCGGATCGTTAAGCAATTATCAATAAAAAAAATGTTTTTATACTAAAGATATTTTTCAACAAAGAAATATTATTTTTAAATACTTAAACTCAGTTTTAAAGAATGACATAAAAATAAATACAAATATTTAACTGAGTCTTAAAACTAATGTCATTAGAGTGACAAATCTCTCAAATTACACGACCATTGTTTTGATCTCTGGACTCCACCGTACAATAACCCAATATCTTGTCACAATGATACGGGAAAACTACGGCGTCGTGTTGGGGTACTCGATTTTCACAAGTGCCCTAAGCGACCACCTTGAATTTTCCAAACTCGATCACCTCGTTGCTCTTGACAATTAATGGAAAAGTGATGGTTTTGGATTCATCATCAAGTGAAGTGTATATGAGAGCCTTTTTTTTTTTTTAGATGAATAGAGCCTATTTTTCAAGAAAATCAGCACTTGGCCATCTATAAAGCTCAGCTTTACGCTTCGTGCCGAATGTGTCGTGTATTTTTGTCATCACTTTTATGTATATATCTGCTAATGAATGATATTGTTATATCACTGTATCATGGTCAAGGGAGAAGGGGTATAATACAGCGGAAAATATCATGTTAAACCTGTTTGATGTGGTGAAATGAATCAGATGAAAAAAAAAATGGAAAAAAAAAGAAAATAATAATTTTTTATTAAAAAATATAGTAATTAATGTTATTTATATATTAAATTCTGTGATATTTTGTTATTTTTAATAAAACTGTTCAATACATAAATTTTTATGTATATTCTAAGATAAAAAATCATAAAAAATGAGCATGATAGATGATAATTAACATTTGCCAGATTCTAAAGAACGATCAATAAAGATACGTATTCCATAAAGAAAATGCTATTTTTTTTAACGGTTCATAAAGAAAATGCTTGATATACATCCAATACCACTTGCAACATGTGGCAAAATTATATATGTATAAGAAGGCATCTGATATTGCCTAGTGCAAAATAATATCAGAATTTTAGTAGAAAAAGCAGTAAAATAGTAATATTCGGATTCTTTGTTAGCTTAAGATATCAGCAAACTTCCACAGCATAACGCATTCTTAGCCATATATAATTACTCTTGGCTTAAAATAACAGCTTGTAACTTTTTAAAATTACTAATATATTTTTATATGATAAAGAGTGTTTTATTGTAAAAATGATCAAATGTTTCTTTTAATTATAAAAATTTGAGCATGCGGCGCGGACTAAATTTTTGTGTTCATGATTTAAGCCTAATAATTTTGAATGGAGAAGCAAAGTGTTCAACTTGTTAATCCTGATATACATTGTTTATAATTTTATTTCCAGTGTCAAAGATTCATGATGTAAAATTATCATTTTAAAAACGATTTTATTTAACTATCATAATTTGTTCAAAACTATGCTCAGCTATGCAAATTGAGGAGGAAAGTGCAAAAAGACTAATAAATTACAAGGTCATATGCATTCCCCTCCCAAAAATAAAACTCATCCCTCATATTTATTTTTAGTTGTTTACCATTGGTTGATATACAAAACAGCGTTTTCAATTTGTGAATTGAAGAGCAAATAAAAACACCCTTCAACATTGCATTCGTAGTAATGCGAAAAACATGGTTAATGTTCTGATCAAAATATAACATGGATGAAAATTCTATCTACTAAATTAAGAAACACTTAGTTACAGTTTGAAATTGGAATAAGAAATGCAAATCATTAACACACAGGGAGATGATCATCCCCTTCAACTTGGGGAGTTATTAATTAGTTTAATATTCTATAAATAGTACAAGCATGAGATACATAACACATAGGAATTAACACACACAAAAGGATACTCATTAATACATGTTGAAAGTAATTTTGCATTTTCAATTGCATCATGTATATGGTGATGCTCTCATCTGAAC